AGGATGGGTATCGGCAAGCAGGCTGAGAGGCTACCCTAAAAAACGGAGGAGGAGACCCAGAAACGCCCAACCAAGTCAGCCTGCCCTGCCATGTCCCCTGCCCCAGCCCCTCTGCACATCCCTGCCAGGAGGCTGGGACCAGAGGGAAGATGGCGCCTGAATCCTCTTCCCCACATTCCCTCCAATGACCTCACTGGCCTCATCCTGGTGGGCTCAGCAGTGTAGGAAGAAGTGCAGTGCTGAGGCCAGACTTGCCAGGGAAGTGGACCTATGACAAATGTCCTCAGACTTTCCTGTGACAGGAGCTATCAGTCAGATTTGAGTCGATGGCCCCCCTTTTCCTTCTAGCCAGCCTCTCCGAGGGAGTGGGCAGGCCTAGAGGCCAAAAATGCTGGCTCAGCACCTCCAGTGTCTCAATGCCCTTCCCTTGTCGACACTCCTCAGGGAGCTTCAGGCTGCAAAGACCGCTGCCCTGTACCCAGACAGAGGGACTGGAGAGCTGCCTGTGCGCTACACTCAACAAGGACTTGGTAGTGATCATCTGCCTCAGTTTCCCTGCCCTGCATGTTCCCAGACCGGAGCCAGCCCTGACCCCATCCCCCTGACATAGGACTGGATCTTGTCACCTTCCCTCACACCCACCGTGCGCACCCAGATGCCACCCCCTCCCCATCCCTCTCAGACCCATTCACCCACCCTGGAAGGAGGATGTTCAAGAATAAGTATCTCTTTGGACAGAGTGCAAGCAGGTCCAGAGAGGGCAGGGGCGTGCCGAAGGTCACATAGCACGTGAGTGATGGGACCAGAAACAGAACCCAGGTCCCCTGCCTCCACCCCCACCACATCCTGCTTGAATTATCCTTGAATTATCAGACATGCCTGGGTTCAAATCCCAGATCTGCCACAAAGCTAGGGCAAATCCTCAGCTCACCAAGAGCCAGCATCCTCATCTATAAATGGAGGGTGACAAAGGCATCTGGACGGAGAAGCAGCAGGCGCCAGACCCCGCCCCACATGCAAGCCTGGGTCACGTAGAGCTTTCTGACTCCGTTGTGGCTCCCAGTCCCAGCCCAGGACCCGAAGTCTGGAGGCAGAGACTTCCGCCTGGCACAGCAGTGGCCCATGGCCCTGGGTACCACCCCAGCCTTGGGACCCTACCCGCAGAGTAGGGAAGCATCAGGCCTGTCCCTGAGGCCTGCTCAGAGCACATCTTTGCAGAGAGGCAAAGGAACGCTCTGCAGTGGCCTTATGCCCATCAAGTGCGTTCACCTGAGCCCGGCTCCATACTCAGCTCTGCACATTGTGGGGCTATGGGCCTCAGCCTCCACTCCAGCTCCATGCTCCTGTGGACCCTGGCAGCAGCCTCCTCCCTGGTCCCCCACTTCCCACTCTGCTCCCCAGTCTGCAGCCAGAGGGCTCTCCTAAAACACTCTGACCACACTCCTTCACCCATGTGTTCTCTTTGCCCTGGGGATAAAGCACGGTCTCTTGATTCAACGTTCAAGAGCCCTCAGGGTCTGGCCACTCCCAGCTTCTCCGCCTCTCCCATGATTCCTCAGGTGCACCAAGCCCTCACTGGGGGCCCCAAGGTTCTCCTATGGTGCGATTTGCCAGACTGATTTAGCATCCATCTGGAGCCCACCCCGGACCCAGACTCCTCAGTTAAGACCTGATCTACTCCCCTTTCCATTCCAACAATCTGCCAGTGCTCGTGAACATCTGCGGATCCCGCGTTTGGGCTAGATGGTGGGGTGAGGGATGAGCAGAAGGAAGTGCCAGTAGGTGAGTGAGAATGACAGAGAGGAGCTCACGTAGCCCGCCCCCACGCACCCAAGCACACAGAGCAACCCATCCCTGACTTCCCTCCTTGGGATTCAAATGGCTCCCCAGCTCCCTTTCTGTGCTGCCCTGGCCCAAGGCACTGGAGAAATCCAGTGACAAAACAGAGAGGACATGGGTCCTGCCCTCCAGGGGCTCCCATCCCATGTGGAGCCAGAGAGAGTATGAGTGTAGGCTCGGGAATTGCATAGAACAAGCTGGATCTGAGTTCTGGCTCCACCTCTTTTACTACCTCTGTGCCTCAGCTTCCCCATCTGTAAAATCGGAGGGAAAGACAACACCTACCTCTCAGGTTGCTGTGATGATTAAATGAGATCCTGGTGCTCATAAAGGGTCTAGAGCCTGACCGGTGCCGGTAAATGCTCCGTGAGAGCTACCTTAGTATTCACATTGCGCCTCAGTGGAGAAATTGCCCCAGGGCCCCTCCCCACAGTCCCAACCACATCTCTGGAACAGATGCAGAGATGGAAGATACACAGAAGAGGGGTCCCCTCCCCCAGCCCTGGACTGTTTGCCCCTCAGCCCTGAATACCTACTTGCCACGATCTCTCTCGTCCTGACACACGTGGGCTCCCTTCTCTGGAATCCTGGTGTCTTATCAGCAATGTTCAGCTGTTGATACGCTCCACCCTGCACAAGCGGTAGGTCATGGCCTGCTTTGACTACAATAAAGTGATCCAGAAGGAGCCAAGCATCGTTTTAGACATAGGAACGTTTTAATTTATCAAGATCCAAAAAAAAAAAAAAAAAAAACCCAAAAAAACCCACATGAGCTCCCAGAGCCTAGTGCCTGGTAGCCACAGAATAGCAGCTTGGCTAAGAGCGTGGGCCTGAGGCTGCCACTGACCCGGCTCCCTCTCTGTGGGCTATGTGACCTTGGGCAAGTTACTTAACCTGTCTGGGGCTCAGTTTCTCCACCTGTTAAATTGGGCATCCCATCTTAGGCCATCATGAGAACTAAGTGTGTGAGGAGTACTAAGCATGGAGTGGGACACACAGTAGGTGTCCCAGAGATGGTAGCTACTCAGGCTGCTCTGTGGAGGGAGGGCGGCCTCGCAGGGAAGAGCTGGTACTTTGGGCACAATTTCCTCTTGACCATGGGCACCTTTGTAGAAGCAGCTTGGGAAGAAGGTCCAGGATAGAGGCAAAGCTTGCTTTATCCTCTGTCCTTGCCGCAGCTGGTGTAGGGGGACAGGGAGGCAGAGGGGTGGGAAGGAGGGCTGTCATCGTGTTTCTCTGCCATCGTATGTATCTGGCCCCGCGTTTAGAAATTACAAGTTTCCCTCATAATTTAAAGCAGCACCTACCTCTGCGGGTCGCAGTGCCTGGAAGATTAATCCCTCAACCGGCCATCAGGTGGATGCCGGCGCCCACGGGCTCCATCTGCAGGCACGGGTGAGGCCATCCCTGAGCCCAGCTGGTAATGAGACGGGCACTGCCGGGGGTGAGGCTCTCGTCTGCGGCCGACAGGGCGGACGCCGGGGCTTCTTCAAGGTGACCCTGAGGGGCCGGCACCTCATGCCGAGCAGAACAGGCACGCACCCTCACATCCAGCTCTAGGTGTCCATGCTGGGCACCTGCAGCCTGGAGGGGCCAGCTCTCCGGGAGCACGTCTGCCTTGAGTCATGGGTGACCGGTGTGACCCAAGCCATGGCAGCAGCGGGGACACACCAAACAGGACAGTCCGGAGCCCTGATGGCTGTGTGGACCCCTCCACACTCCTGCCTTCTCGGAGGAGAGCTGATGTCCCTGACACGCCCCAGCTCTGCCCTTGACTTCCAAAGTGAGAGGCCACCTGGTGAGGAGGAAAAGGGTGACATCGGTTGGACAGCTGGCTAGCCTGGACTTTACTAGAGAGAATCTGATAGCAGGTGACCATGGCTCAGCTCCAATCCCAGCCAAAGCCCTGGCTACTGGCTCCAGAGTAGAAGCACGGGGCGCTGTGGTCACACTAGACGAGTGGGGCCAAAAGCTCCATTTCCTGACCAGGAGGAATCACCGTGAGGACCAGTGTCACTTAGTAACGTCTGCCACTGGTCTCAGTTGAGGAAAGAGAGGCAGGCGTGCTTCATGTCCATAGCCAAGGACTCGAGTCCTCCTAAACTGAGGTCAGATTGGACAATTTAAATAAATCTCTTTTGCCTCAGAGAAAGACAAGGAGGAGCGCCCCTTTGCTACCTTTCATCTGTGGGGCTTGAGGAAAAATGGACAACTTAGGCTTAGGGCAGCTAGCTGACAGCCAAGGGAATAAAAAGAAGAAGCTGGCACTTCCTCAAAAACTCGAGCAGTCACAACCGATCAAAAGCAGACATGAAACCGAATTCCGTACCTTGTTCTAAGTGGGGTCCTGAAGTCTTGAACTGTTACTGCCACATGGTTGGTCTCTCCCTTCAGTGCATCAGCCTTCACTCCCTGCATCTTAGGGCTGTGTTCTTCGGTGCATATAGGTTTATAATTGTTACAACTTCCTGATGGATTGCCCCTTTTGTCATTATAAAATGTCCCTTTTATCTCTAGTGACATTTTTTGTTTTAAAGTCTGTATTTTTTTTTAATATTAGTATAGCCACTCTGGGAAGCCTTCTCTGCTCTGATCCAACCCCTTGACATGTCTGGGTCAGTTACCATTTGATTTCCCTGGAACCTCCCTGGGCAGGTTTCACCCCAAGGCAGAAAGCCAGTGTCGGAGGCCAACAGAGTTGGTCCTCATACTTTGACACCCCCCCTCCTGGGTCCATCACCCACCCCTTTCCAAGATCTTGGTAAAGTTGACCTTCCAACCTCAAGTCTTGGCAGAGTAGAGTCCCTGTCTAGTCCTGAGTCTTCAGCTCAAGCCTCAGCTCAGCCAGTGATTTGCTGTGTGACCTCGGGTAAGCCTCTTGCCCTCTCTGAGTTTCTCTTTTCCTATCTGGGAGTTAGTTGAGCTCTCGGGCCGGAGCTGGAGAGGAGAGGAGGGGAGGTCAAGCCCCGGTAGCGGAGGCTCCTGAGGCAGGAGAGCAAAGCACTGCTTTGCTACCTACCTCCCTCGCACAGGTAGGCAGGACCCAGTCCCTGGGGCTGAACCCAGACTCTCCTCCATTTATGTAGGGACAGATCAGTGACAGGGCAGCAGGGCTGGAGGAGGAAGCCCCGAGCCAGTGTCCTCTGTCTCTCTGTCCGCAGTAGCTCGGTACAACCGCACCAGCTATTTCTACCCCACGTTCTCAGAGAGCTCGGAGCACAGCCACCTGCTCGTGTCTCCCGTACTGGTGGCAAGCGCAGTCATAGGTGTGGTCATCATCCTCTCCTGTATCACCATCATCGTGGGCAGTATCCGCAGGGACCGGCAGGCCCGGCTCCAGCGTCACCGCCACCGCCACCGCCGCCACCACCACCACCACCACCGCCACCGCCGCCGTCACCATCAAGAGTACGAGCAAGGATACTGTGAGTTGCCGTCTGCCCCGGGGCCCGGCCTCCTGTGACTGCCACCCAGGAGACGTGCGGGAGGCAGCAGCCCTGTCATGGGGGGGCGGGGGGTCAGGGAGAGACCGGAGGCACTCACCGGAATGCTCTCAGGCTCGGGAGGTCCAGTAGTCTGCCAAGGGGGACGCCAGAGGTCAAAGGGAGGGTGTGGTGCTACTCCCCAGCCTTGGCAGTGGGGGTCTGGTCCAGCTGGAGCCTGGATGCAGGGACAGAGGGAGACAGGGATGGGTGAGCAGGATGGGAGGACAGATGGGTAGGGGGATGAGGGGATGGAGGGGGGGGGGACGGGGCGGGGTGAATGAGTGAACAGACCAGTGGCTGAAGGGGAAGATGGCTGAGTGGGTGGCATGGGAGACGAATGGCCAAATGGGTGGACAGAAGGACACATGAAAAGAGCATGAATGGCTGGAGGGGGTGGATACAGGCGTGGATTGGGTGGGATGTGCGAGCACATGGATAGACGGGATGGCTGGGTGGATGGATGGAAAGATGGATAGATAGGAAGGTGGAGGGATGGATAGGTGGGGGGTGGGATGGGTATATGAATAAGTGGATGGATAAATGACGGAATGAATGATGAGTGAATGAATTTACCCCCAGAGAGCCTGCAAAGTGCACACAGAACTGATTGGGGAGTTTCCCAATTAGGAGAATCTCCCTTACACAGGGGTGGCTAATTCTTGGGCCAACCAGTCCCGGAAGTGTCCATCTGGCCAGAAGGCCTGAACTTTTTACAGAATGCAGCCACCTGACTCTGTCTTACACTTAGAAGGGACCCGTTATCCAAAAGCAGCAAGAAGGAGCTCAATTCATTCAATTTCTGAACGGTTGTCAAGAGCAGGAAAAAGCCTGCCCTGAGGCCTGATGGGGCCTCTGCCCGGAGTTGGGGGGCTGCATAGGCCCAGAGGCCACCATCACACTGAAGATGAAGCCATCTGGAGGCTCCAGAGCCATGGCAAGGCCTGGGAGTCTTTCCAGGACAAGCAGAGCTTGAGAGAAGGAAAGAAAAGAAAAATGCAAGAACTGGTTAGGTTGGATCTCATCCGCCTGGACCTCAGGAGGCCTGAAATCCACAGCCCCCTCCCAACATGCCCTGATCAACCAGCAGCTTTGTGCCACTTCCTTCCCCTTTCCAGAGTTAACTGGGTGAGGAAGGGGTCATCTTTTAGCAATTACGGCTCCCCACAGCTGCAGCCGGGGAGCTGAGGCAGGGAGGAATTGGGCAGTCGGGGGGTCACTATGTGCCGGGCACTTTTCACAGATAATCTCATTTAATCCTTACCGTGGTCCTGGAGGTCGGACCACTTTTTATTACCTTCCCAATTTACAGATAAGCAAGTTGAGGTTGGGGCGTTCAGGCTGCTATAACAAACATACCAGAAACGGAGTGGCTTGTAAACAAGAGAATTTATTTCTCCGTTCCGGAGGCTGGGGACTCCCAAGATCAAGGCCCCTGCAGATTTGGCGCCTTGGTGAGGGCCTGCATCCTTCTCACTGTGTCCTCACACAATAGAAGGGACGAGCTAGCTCTCTAGGGTCTCTTTTGTGAGGGCACTGATCCCCATTATGAGGGCTCCACCCTCATGACCTAATCATCTCCCAAAGGCCCCACCTCGTACTAGCAGCACCTTGGGGGGGTCAGATTTCACTATATGAATTGGGGGGCAGGGGGACACAAACACTCAGACTGTAGCGGGTGCTGAACCTCCCTGGGGTCACCCAGCCAGGCGGACCCCAGATTTGAGCCCAGGTGGCCCGACCTGGGTTCCTGCAGGCTCCCCACTGCACAGCCCTGCCTCAGAGGGACTGGTGCTCACACCCCTGAGGGGCTGAAGGTGCGGGCGAACAGCAGCAGGGGCGCCCCACGCGCCCAGGGCCCCGTCCGGCAGACGCACTCAAGACCTAGGGGCCCGGCACACCCGATGTTGCTCCTCTGGCAATGTAGTTAGGAGAAGCAGGAGAGCAGGAAGCTGGCCCTCTGAACAAGACACAGAGGGACATCACATGGCAGGGGACAAGTGGCCTCGATGGAAGAAGGGTGCAGCCGGTCAGTGGGTCGCCCTCAGTGCCCAACAAGGGAAGCTAAAGAGAAGAGTCAGCATGAATCAGGCAGGTGCTGAAAGCCCACCCAGCCCAGTCCCCTCTAGTGTCCCCAGAGGCCGAGGACTCCCCAAGAAGACAGCCAGGAGCACTGCCCAGACCCGGCCTGGCTTATTCCTATGCTTGCAGCACCTGCCTGACCTTTGAGGAGTGCGAGGCTCCTGCCTGGGGAATGCCCACCCCCAATAAGGAGCCTGGGCCCCCCTCTCCACCCCCCCCCTCCCCGCCCCCACCCCCCCCCCACCCCGCACCATAAGGCGCCGCTGGTCAGGCCCAGCACGGTCAGCCTGCCCGCCTCCCAGGGCCCAACTCTTGCCTGCCCTCCTCCAGCTTGTCCCCAAGCACCTCCTTCACACTCCGCCCCACCTCCACACCTTTGCACATGCTCTTCCTAGGCCCACAATGCCATTCCTAATACGTCCCCCAACTGACAAAAGCCTACTTGTCTTTCCAGGCCCAGTTCAAATGCCACCTCATCCCGCCCAGGCAGGCTTGAATCGCCCTTCCCTGTACTTGCTTGGCATTTACCCACACGTCTACCAGTGCCCCTGTCATGGGACAGCTGGGTTGCATCAGGGAAAGCAGGGCCTGTGTGTAGCTCTCAGTCAGTGGGGCCCATAGCCCAGCACAGGATCTCACCCAGAGAAGATGCTCTGCGGTCCAGGGAAGGAACCACCCCATTTACTCCTCAATGCAAAGGCTGGGTTCGCCCATTTTATTTTTTTAGTATTTTATTTTTTTTAAGTCATCTCTACATTCAACGTGGGGTTCGAACTCACACCCCCAAGATCAAGAGCCAGCCAGGTGCCCCTAGCCCATTTAAAGACTGGGAAACCAAAGCACCTTGTTGAACAGCCTGAAAGTTCCCAGGCCTGAGCCTGGTACTTAGAGCATGGGAGAGGGACCCACAGTAAACCCTAAGCTGAGGTTTGAGAGGCCAACCTTGGCCTGGAGGAGAGAGATGGGCCTGGAGGCCGCAGGGCCAGTGCCACACGAGCGAGGCCCTGGCCCTGATCTCTGGAGTCAGTGGGGTGACAGCAGGTCAGAGCCAGGCCACGCCTGGCATCAGGCCTTTGCTGCCCCAGGCTGATTGGTGGCAGCCCTGCATCCCTGTCCCCAGGGGTACCCATCTGGGGGGCTCCCACCTCCCTGCCCCACTTATGTTCTCGGCTCTTGCCTTGGCACCTCCTTGGGGCCTCAATGGGGAGCCCAGAGGCACTGACTCCCCCCCAGCTTCCTCCCGCCTCCTGGAGGGTGCACGGAGGTGCCAGGAGCCTCAGAAGGAGGCCAGGGAGGAGAAGGGAAGCACACCGCGCATAGCTGTGGGGAAGACAAAGCAGCAGAGCGCCGACAAGCTCCTGCTGGGTGGCACTGGGGACCCTTCTGTCCTTCAGACAGCCCCTTCCCCTGGCTTCACTGACTAAGGCTCTCCTGGTCTCTCCACTGCTCAGCCGGCTCCTTCTCAGACTTCTTTGTAGATTCCTAGTCTCTGAGGGGAGGAATATCAAGGTCCCTCAGAACCCAACCCTTGGCCCCAGGTCTTCTCTCTACACCTGCTCCCGGCTCCATCTCAGCCACCCGCCAGTTTCAGGCACTATCTGTCACCCTCGGCCAGGGATCCCCCAGGCATCTCTCCTCGAGGTCTCACAGGCCCCGCAGAACCAGGCATCCAAAACGGCCTTCATCTTCCACGTCTTACTGTACGACCCGGGAAAAGTTGTCTAACCACCCTGTACCTCAGGGGAGTCACCTGCACAATGGGTACCCTGGGACCCACCCCTAAAGTTACTGTGAGGACTAAATTAGCACAGTACCTGGCTTCTGGGTGCATGCTCAATACACGTTCACTCTTTCCATTCTTTCTCCCCCTAGAAAACCTGAGCCAGGGCCACATCGGTGACACTGGCCACCGCCCCTTGCCAGCACCTACCTGGCAGCTGCCAGGCATTCTCCACAAGGCAACCAAAGTGACTGACCTGGGAACACTTCCATCCTCTGCTCAACACCCTTCAGTGGCTCCCCATTGCCCTCAGGACAGAGTTGGCCCTCCTCCGCCTGCCCACAGAGCCCTTCTGCAGTCTAGCCAGGCGCACAGAGAGGAGCCAATAAATGTTTAAGAATGAATGAATGAATGAAAGAAATTCTATTTCTAGAAGATGGAAAGATCTTTCGCTTTAGGAGACAGACCTGGTGTCGTCTTACTTGCTGGGGCTTTAGAGCAAGCGGCCCCTCCTCTCAGTCTCCACATCTGAGAGCAGGAGGCGGCCACAGTGCCTCTCACAGGTGTGAGGGAGAATGTGGTCACCAGGCTAGAGCACGGTAGATCTCCGTGGACGCAAACTCCTTCTCCCCACTCCCGGGCTCGTCAAGGGGTTAAATCATGAGCTGAGGTATTTCTTGATTTGGGTAAAGAAGGGGATAGGGAGGTCTCACTCCCCATGAGGTGGCTGGAGGGGCTTCCAGAGGCCTGGACCATCAGGGTCTGTGCTGACTGGGAAGTTGGGAAAGGAGAGGGCCTAAGAAAGGAATTGGGGGGAGTTGAAATGAGGGGCTGGGGGAGTCTTTCCATCTGTTCCTCAGGAGCTCTGTCTGGACTGAGCTGGGTCAACTCAGGATTGGGGTCTGAGCTAGGTGAGTGCCTCAGGGCAGCCTCAGTTTACCTAAGCTGCTCAGCCTCTGGGAAGTCCCAGGAAAGCAGCCCAAGCAGAGAGGGGAACGACAGCGTGGCTCAGCTCTGTCAGCTCTCAGACGTCCCCCCCACCCCCCCACCCCCCGGTCCAGGACACAGCCTTAGCTTTCCCAAGGTTGAGACAAGCCACAGCCTCCTGCATGGTGGATGGGCCCCTCCCGGCACCGGAGCCCAGAGGCCCACATCCCACTTCTGTCCTCACCCTATTTCATGCTTTCTTCTTTCCTGAGTTTCTTCTTCAAGTTCTTCCAGACATCCTCACCCTCCAGCTGGTACCCTAAAGGGAAACAAATCTCATTTCAGCTCTTTTTTATAGCATGCGTTATTGGGTACCTTTTTCCTAGTAGAAAAGCAATATGTGTTCACCGTGGAAGACCTTTAAAATACAGAAAATATAAAGAAGAAAATAAGGGTCATGATCCTGTCATCAAGACAGAGCCACTGTTAACGTGTCTGGAATATTTTCTTCCGAGAGCTGTCTCGATGTCCATAGATAACCCTGGGATTATACCTGCAGTTAGAGTTTCACATCCAGATTTTTCTACTCACTGTTGTATCAGGAGTGGGGAAAAGAGATTAGGGGGAGTGGAAAGAACAGTCTTTACGGTTATACCGATTGTGCATGAATTCCAACTCTGTGACCCTGAGCCTCAGCTTGTAGAATGTAGAATGGGGATGGACAGTGCTGCTGACCTCAAAGAAGGGTCATGAGCCCCACCCCAGACCGGTAAGCCCCACCCCTGATGTTGAGTCCTGATCTCTGAGGGGAGGAGCTGGCTGCCCGCCCATCGTGGGTGGGGAGATCTCATGACTCAGCCATCTGTCCCGTAGCCTCTACTAGAACTGTCAGAAACTGGGAGGTGGAGAGCTTTATAGAGCGAGGAGCCAGGATATCCAGCTGCCCTCTGGGCCCACCAATAATTTGTTGTGTGGCCTCCAGCAAGTCACTGACCCCTCTGAACCACACTTGTAGAATGAATGTGCTCTATCAGCACGTCCTAAGCAGTGTTACTAGTTCTAAGAAAAGATTCTGTGGTCAAATACGCCTAAGCGCAGTCAAATGTAATTCTCAGCTGCAGGACTTCTCAGAGCCTTTAATGTGCTAATATATGGTAAACATACAAACAAAACAGAGGAGAATACAGTACACGGAATAACCAGAATTCATTACAGAAGTGCCTTTTCTCCTGGGATAACTAAGGGAATAATGTATGGTTGGGCACAGGGAGTAGGGAGGCCTGACCCCAGAGACCTCTGCAGCCCTCATTCCCTGACTCCCCAGTTTTCACGCCCCAGGCCTTCTCTACATTTTCAAAGCTTCCTTTTCACACCACACTCTTCTTTCTAATCCCCTTCCTTGGTTCAAGCTGTTCTGTTCCTTCTGCCCGGCCTGTCCCTCTTCTCTTGGCTAATTCCTAGATTAGACTCAGCTTTAAGAGCCCCTCCTCCAGGAGGGCCTCCCTGACCTCCAGGCTGGGTCAGCTCATCACTATTCCCATAGGGCCAGGACTGCATCTATCAGATCTCATGACACACTGCTCAGTACCGGGCTGTCCCCAGGACAGGCTGCTCACCACCCTGGGAGCCCCACCAGGGCAGAGCCAGCTCTGCTTTCTCTCTGAGAAGCCTGCGCAGCGCAGCAGGGGTGCTCACATTCTGCGGCTAGCTCCGAGAGAATGACAGGCAGCTGGGCTTGCTGAGGGACCAGATGGTGAGTTGGAGAAAACAGGTTCTCAGTGGCCTCAGGTAGACATGTTGGGCGCTCCCTGCTTCCGGTCTAACCCCCAGGCTGAATGTCTGTCCCCTGCAGTGTCCGACAGGCACACATACAGCCGCTCGAGCCACAGGATACGCTACACCTGCAGCCCCGCCGAGGACTGGTCCCCACCCTTGGATCTCAGTTCTGATGGGGATGTGGACGCCACAGTGCTTCGAGAGATGTACCCCGATTCTCCACCAGGGTAAGGAGGCTTCGAGGGGAGGAGGGCATGAGCGGGAGGGGCACTGGCTGTGAACCCACTCCCCCACCCCCGGTTGGGAAATAGCAACATCTCCCCCAAATGGGGTAAATGCAGAAAATCTCTGGGCGTGGCCATCTCCTGACCAAGCAGGTCCCAGTGACACAGGGCATGATGGAACAGATGTCACTGGAGAAGGAAAAGCTCAGCTCCCTCAGGCTGGGGTCAGGGGGTGGGGTGGAGGGTCCAGGCCCCAGCTTCTTAGTATGTACCCCCAAAACCCAAACCCCATGCACTGGGTCAGGCCTCACTGTGTCCAAACTGCACTCATGGCCGTCAGGTGGCCCGGTCCCATTGGGGAATTCTTCTCTGGGGGGGGCCTGTGGGTTCTCCCTGGCACCCTCAGGCAGATGACCCACGAGTTAATAGTTGGAAATAGAAGGGAGGTCAGGGCCTCCATCGCTGCCCTACCAGGAGACCCCTCTGGCCCCACTCCTGTCACCCTGTACCCCTTACCCCCTGGGGGGGCAGCAGGTGCTCTTTTGGCCTGTAGCTACGGGTTTCCAAGGAGCCCCAGGGTCTCCTTCCTCAGCCTGAAAGGGCCACTTTGGTGACTTGAGACCAAGGAGTGTCAGATGGCCCGAGGTTGCTGCCCCCGGCACCACCCACACTCAGGGCGAGCTGTGCAGCCTCTCCATCAGCCGCGGCCACTGCTCCGAGCCATGTGAGGCCCGCCGCTCAGTGACGGCACACGGGCTGAGTCGGGACCAGAACCCAGCCGCAGTGGTTCTGGGGTGCCTCTCCGGGGGGGGGGTGAGGGGTCTCATTAGCGCCAGCATGCCCCCAGCCCTTGGGAAAGGCCTCCACAGCGAGCCCTGAGGGAGCCTCTTCTCTTGCAGTTACGAGGAGTGTGTGGGGCCAGGGGCCACTCAGCTGTACGTCCCCACTGATGCACCGCCGCCCTACTCGCTGACCGACTCGTACCCCGTGCTGGATGGCGCCCTGAACACGGGCCCCGGCCCTGGCCCCGGCCCCGGCCCCGGCCGACCCCAGCAGGCACAGAGGATCCTGGGCCACGGTGGCCTCCGCACCGTCTCCATGGATACCCTGCCCCCTTATGAGGCTGTGTGTGGGGTCAGCCCCCCATCGGGTCTGCTGCCGCTGCCGGGGCCAGAACCAGGGCCAAGGAGCTCCCAGGGCTCACCCGCCCCAACCCGGGCCCCGGCCTCTGGTCCCGAGAGGATTCTGTGAGTGACCCAGCCAGCCAGGTCCTGCCGGTCCCTCGGGCTGAGCCACAAGGGCGTGCACGCACACACACACACACACACACAGGCTCACAAGGGCATGCGCGCACACACAGATACGCACACACACATCCACACTAACACACCCATGTGCACACACACATCCACATATGCACCACACATGTACAGACATGTGAATACACACAAGCCCCCCCACATCCACACAAACCCCTCTGCTAAGGTTTCATTAAAAATGAAGCTCTCTTGACCTCCCGCCTCCTCCCCAGCCTGTTGGTTATGCCCCTGCAGACAATGCTGGGAGAAGACCGGCGGAGAGGGACAGGGCCTTGCTCTCCCTGGCCTGTTTGCCTCTGCCCTCGCCTGGCAGGCTGTGCCCAAACTCTAAGTCTGCCTCCAGAAACTGCTCGACCACCCCAGGGCGGCGTGCCCTCCTGGGCGGTGGGCCAGGCTTCAGCGAGGTTCAGCCACACACTGTACCTCTCCCTCAATTCCAGGGCAGCCACAATATCACCACCCTGCCACTTATGGGGCGAGGGACACGGGTCTGGGGGCCCAGGCGCAGCCTGCAGGCCCTCACCACTCCCCCCCACCCCCCCTCACCCAGTGCCCCCGGCCTTGTGGCGCTGGCGGGGTTATTTTGGAGGCCCTCACCCCCAGCGACAGGTGATGAGCAGAGTCCTGGGCGGGCATGCGATGGTGGTGGTGGTGGGTGACGGCTGTCCCCATGTCTGTCCAACCACAGCCCAGGGCTGAGGGTCTTCAAAGAAGAGAAGGGTAGCTTGGGCACAGCTCTGAGGCAGAGACGCGGCCCCTCGCTAAGTGTGTGCCCAACTGACCATCAGGGCCCGAGTTTTGGCTGCCAGCCCCCCCCCCCGGCCCCGGGTGGCAGATCCTAGTTGGGAATTGTGTGCCGACGCGTTCTGGCCCCTGCCCTCCAAGGCGCAGAGATGAAATACAGGGGAAGCGGGCCCCCTAAATACTAGCATACCACCACGAGAGGCTGGATCTGGGCCTCACTGCCAGGGGCACCCCAGAAGGCAATATATGGGTGTGCCTGCCTAGAGAGTGGCCCACAAATCCCAGCAATTTCCATCAGAGACCATGCAAGTAACAGAGCTGATTTCCGAAGACCCAGCCTGCCAGAGGGTGGCAGCCGAACATCTCTGTAGAGAGTCCCGCCAGCATTGCCAATGGCAGGGAGTGGGACCCTCAAGTCCGCCCTGCCTCCCCCCACCCCCCCATCCTCTACCCCCCATCTCCATTCCTCTTATGAAGGGCTAAGACATTTCAGTAATCCCTTTCTTGAGAAGAAGGGTGACAAGGATGGCAATCGTGAATTTTATTTTCTGTAGAAATAGGATTTCTTCTGGTGCAGAACTGAAAGGAATCCGTGCAGAGGTTCTGTGGCATCCCGGAGCACCCGACTCCACCAGGAAAGGGACCTTGTTTACAAGCAGTTCTGTCCGCCTCTGTGGTGTACTGTTTTCTAGGCAAAAAATATCTGTCTGTTGTACTGTATAGCCTTTAAATGCACTCCAGGGATGAGACTCTTTTAAGAAATGCATCCTGCTTCTGCAACCCTAGAGAGTACTAGGGGAGAAAAGATAAAAATCCCTAAGTACTCATCAGTGTTTGAGGGATGGAGCTAAACAGCTTTTCTCGTTCCTGGATTAAGCGCTAAATAAGCAACAATGTATCTTTTCTGTGTTCAAAATAAATATATCGTATCAATAAAAATGTTGCAAAAATAACAGTCTCAAGGAGTGCATGGGGTGAGGGGCTCGCGCCATTGGACACTCGTTAAGTGTAATAAATAGCAGCAAACCGAAAATGCCTGCCTTCTCTCAAGATGAGCAGCCCCCAAAACCTTGTCGCTTCCCTGTTGACACCGCTATTGGGGTAGTCAGGGACTTCCACGACTCACTTTTTTTCTTAAGCTCCCTGAAACACCGCATCGTCTCTCTGAGCCGTGACCAGTGTAAATGTCGCCAACATGGGCCATCAGGTTTTGGCCCTGACTCCAGGAACACCAGGGACTGCACATTTTCCGAGCCCAGCAGTTGACTCTCAGCGCCCTGATGTTTTCCACTACCAGGAAGGGGGTGGGAGGACTGGTAATTAGACGGAAATGAGTTGTTTTCTTCCCCTTGCAGAAATTCTTTTCTGTGTGCTCGTTGATCCCTTGGCTGACAGAGGCTGGTTGCCTTCCTCGGTCCCCCTTTCCTCCCACTCGAACTCGAGTGGCATCCACCAGCAGAGTCCTAGACCCCGGAGTGCCCTGAAAGTGGGGCTCAGTCCTGAAGAAAAAGAAAGGTGCAGCTCCAGGCCCCGGTCCCAGCGGGCCTGCACCCACTCCAAGCCCACACTGCCACCTGCTGGCCGCCTGCTGCCACTGTTCAAAGCCACGTGCTTCCCTTCCCTCGTTTCCATACCTGCTGCCCACAGACATTAAGAGTGGTAGACAGACCTTGTTTGGGTTCTGAGCTGGTCTTCCACCCTGGCAATGTTCCCTGAGGTTTAACCAGTCAAGCATTCTACTTTCAGGAATCCCTCCCGCCCCCCCAGCATCTCTCTCTGGGCACACAGCCTGATGCCTAAGCACCGCCCCCCCCCACCCGATGCAAAATAATCACGCCTCTGTCCTCAACACCTGCTGTGTGTGGCTCAGGCGCCACCTCTGTGCTCTGGGGCCCTCTTGCCCGGAATGAATGTGGCAGCCCTCATGGTGATGGTGGCCAGCCACTCCAGCCCGAACCACACCAACACCCAGTTCCAACAACACATAGGGCCCCCCCCACCCCCCAGCCCAGGAGACTGTTGGGCTAGGCCTTTCCTGCCTCCCCCGTCCATACACACCCTGGGTCTACGTACGGCGCCACATGCAAGGCCCTTCTGCACATCCCTACAAGGAGACTGGCCGCCTCTCTCTGCCAGGGCCTGCGGGGTGGGGCCGAGGAGCACGCCCCAGGCAGTGGGGCTCAGCCCGGGGCTCATTAGCGCCCCAATGAGATGGGAGGTGACAATTCTTCAGGATGGTGGGAACAGGACGGGGCAGGACCAGACCCTGGGACAGGAGGGGTTGATGCAAGGGGTTGATGAGGGAGGTGACCCGGGGAGCACCCATAGGGAGTAGGCAGTGAAACAAGGAAGGAAAGGAAGCCAATTCAGGGTGTTGTGGTCACACAGGTCCCCCTCCGAGGGGGGTGGAGACAGTGGGGAGCACACCTCAAAGGTAGCCCCCGGCAGGAAAGGGGAGAGAGCGCTCACACTGGCTCGCAGACCCTCAAGGGCCATCGTTTGAGGCTGCCCCTTGGAGAACATTCTCCCTGTCCCTGGTGCAGCCGAGCGGGCTTCTCTGGCCAGAGAAGTCCTCAGACGGGGAGGTGCCACTGCTGGCAGGGCGAGTCCCCGCGACAGCCGGCAGGATCGGCCACCCGCGGCCCGTATGCACGGGCACGGCGCACTGCAAGGTTCGGGACCTGCTCAGCTGGTTTCGGTGCACACACACCTGCGCCCCCACACTCAGAGCTCACACGCGCAGGGGTCCCACACGCACACTCCGAGGCCACCCACTCCTACTCAGGGGTCACCGCTGGTGTCCCCCTGATGACTGACCGGGTTGTGGGCACGCGCGGTGGAAGGACAGGCAGCTCCAGCGTCCGACAGAGCAAATCTTCGGTCATGGGCTCTGCTCTGCTTGACCTCACGCTGAACCTCCCAAGTCAGGTGAACGCTCTCAATCAGAACCAATTACCTGGGTCAGGCCCGGTATTTCGGGGCTGGGGGCTGGGCACGCCCTTGCCCCCAGGGTTACAGCCCCGCTGTGCCTGCTCAGCACCTCGCCAAGGAATCCCAGGGCTCCAGGTCCTCAGGCCCTGTCGTCACAGCCCCAGCCTTACCAAATGACCCCTCCCCAGCCTGACCCCGAGGTCCTGGGGCTGGCCAGCCTTCTGCCCCACAGCTGGTGGCTGCCTGGTCCGTGACCCACCATAGGGTGAGGGGAGACAACTTTTGAAAGGGCAACCCTCCACCCTCTGGCAGGCTCTGAGACCCATTACCCACCCCCATGACTCAGTTGCAAGAGACAGAAACCCAACTTGAACCTTCTTAAGCAAGAAAGGACATTTATTGACTCATGTAACTAAATAGTCCAAGTGATAACTCTGACTTCAGGCTTGGCTGGATCCAGGAGGTCCAAGAACACAGGCAGCTGTACTGCCTCTCTTGGCTCTGCTGCCCACCATGTCACCTTCATTCTCCCATGGGAACAAGGGCTGTGGACAGACCAAGTCTATGCTGGCTGGCTCATGACCCAGCCCCAAGGCCTAGCTCACTGCTGGGCTCTGACATCTCATCCTCTTCCCCGCCCTTCCCTTCCTGGACTGTCCCTGTGTGTTTGAACCATCGCTGCCAGACTGGGGGCCCAGGGGCAGGACTCAAGCTGGTTCTTCTCTGGGTGGCAAACCCTGGGGGTGGGGGGAGCCTTGTGGAGCGGACAACTGGCAAGAGCATTCAGTTCAATTATGATGGAAACAAATTCCTCTCTGTGTGTCACGGCCTTGAGGACAGTAAGTGCAGAGTTGCAGACTCGGTGGCCCGTGACCAGACAGCACCCACTCCTGTACTCCCTGTGGCCTCTGAGCTCCTAGGCTTTCCAGGGGACTTGGAAGCCTTTGGGCAGCAGGGAACGCTGTGAGGGAAGGCTAGGTGCTGGGACCCAGAGGTTTGGCTGTCCCTGCTTCTGTCATCAGTTCACTGTGACTTTGAGCCAGATCCTTTCCTTCTCTGGGCCTCCGGACCCCCACCCCCACCACAGCTCCTGCATATCTCCAGTGCCCCCCCACCCCTCCCCCTGCCTCCTGCATTGTCACCAAAGTTAGCGACCCTGGCAGGCAGAGAAAGGTTCTCACTAAGCCAGTCACTCACCCAAGGCCCCAGACAGTGTGCATGCAAGAAACACCAAATCCAATGCTTCAAGAGGCCGCACAGATCCAGTGGGGAGGAAGCTGGTCCTGGAAAAGCTGAGGAAGCACCAGAAGACAGAGGGGGCAATGATTCCAGGCACCCTGCCCAGGCTTCCCCACCATGTTCTTGGGTCACCCTAGAGAGTCAATTCACAGGCATGATGAACTTCCCAAAGCTCAGGAACAAGACGTCCAGAATGAGTGAAATGGTTACATCAGTAAGTAATAGCAATAAGCAATAGAAGAATCACCTGGGATGGGGGGTGCGGGTGGAGATTAAAGTGTGTGTACCAAATTGTTAAACTTTGGCTATTAATAGGGGAAAAAGGGGGCCCTTGGTGGCTCAGTTGGTTAAGCGTCTGCCTTCGGCTCAGGTCATGACCCCAGCGTCCTGGGATCGAGTCCTGCATCGGGCTCCCTGCTCAGTGGGGAGTCTGCTTCTCCCTCTGCCTGCCGCTTCCCCTACTTGTGCTCTCTCTCCCTGTAGATAAAATCTTTTAAAAATCTTTTAAAAAAATAGGAAAAAATACAGGTCACTCCAGCCCTCTCCTTAAGGAGCAAATCTGCCTGGGGTCAAGGAGAGAAAGAGAGACAAAGAGACAATGAGAATTAAGGCCCTTCTGTTTTGGACACACACACACACCCTACCACACCACCTTCCTGGGCCTGGTGACTGTCTCTTCCGCAGAGCTCAGTGGCTTGGAACTCTGCATATCCCCCTTGCCCAAATCTGCCATTCCCCTTCAGTGCTCTTATAAATCTTCGGCATCAAGGGAAAAGCATGGCTTTTGGTCTCATAGCTTTGGCGTGGTAAACTCCATAATGGCCTCCAAAGACGTGCAGGTCCAAATTCCCAGAACCCATAACTATGTTAGCTTCCGTGGGGAAGGCACTCTGCAGGTGGGATTAAGGACCTTGAGAGAAGGCAATGAACCTGGGTCATCCAGGTGGACCCAATATGATCACAAGGGTCCTCCCCAGGGGGAGGCCTCACGGTCAAAGTAAGAGAAGACGTGCCAAACTGAAGCGGCGGGAAGAGAGAAATGAGAGATTTACACTGGCTACACTCCAGAACGGCCTCGGGAGGAGAGCTGCTGCTCCCCGAGGGCCCATTTGCAAGGACTCCAACTGGGAAGTGACTTCCCAACCACGGGGACAGGAATCGCCCTGACCGCGGGGCGCAAGAGACATTGCAGGAGGCAGGAGAGCTAGGGGCAGGGAGCAGAGAGCCCCCAGATGTGGTGAGCCCAGGTCTGAGGCAGCTCCAAGGCCAAGGACCGGGCACATGCCCTTCCTGGTGAGTGGAGGGCCCGGAGGCCAGCACAGTGTCACAGGAAGCCGATGAGCAAGAATCCTGGGCTGTACTCTGGAAAACTGTATGGAGGTTCCTCAAAAAGTTGAAAATAGAGCTACCATATGATCCAGCAATTGCACTACTGGGTATTTACCCCAAAGATACAAAAGTAGGGATCCGAAGGGGTACATGCACCCCGATGTTTATAGCAGCAATGTCCACAATAGCCAAACTGTGGAAAGAGCCAAGATGTCCATCAACAGATGAATGGATAAAGAAGATGTGGTATATATATACAATGGAATATTATGCAGCCATCAAAAGGAATGAGATCTTGCCATTTGCAACGACGTGGATGGAACTGGAGGGTATTATGTTGAGTGAAATAAGTCAAAAAGAGAAAGACATGTATCATATGATCTCACTGATATGAGGAATTCTTTTTTTTTTTTTAAGATTTTTATTTATTTATTTGACAGAGAGAAACACAGCAAGAGAGGGAACACAAGCAGGGGGAGCGGGAGAGGGAGAAGCAGGCTTCCAGCTGAGCAGGGAGCCCGATGCGGGGCTCGATCCCAGGACCCTGGGATCATGACCTGAGCCAAAGGCAGATGCTTAACGACTGAGCCACCCAGGTGCCCCAGATATGAGGAATTCTTAATCACAGGAAGCAAACTGAGGGTTGCTGGAGTGGGGGGTGGGGTGGGAGGGAGGGGGTGACTGGGTGATGGACACTGGGGAGGGTATGTGCTCTGGTAAGCGCTGTGAATTGTGCAAGACTGTTGAATCTCAGACCTGTACCTCTGAAACAAATAATGCAATATATGTTAAGAAAAAAAAAAAGAAGAAGAAGAAGGTAGCGGGAGGGGAAGAAGGAAGCAGGGGAAATCGGAGGAGTAGACGAACCATGAGAGACAATAGACTCTGAAAAACAAACTGAGGGTTCTAGAGGGGAGGGGGGTGGGAGGATGGGTTAGCCTGGTGGTGGGTATTGAGGAGGGCACATTCTGCATGGAGCACTGGGGGTTGTGCACAAACAATGAATCATGGAACACCGCATCTAAAACTAATGATGTAATGTATGGGGATTAACATAAGAATTAAAAAAAAAAAAAAAAAGAATCCTGGGCTGTGTTACTACAAGGTCACACTACCCCGTCAGTGGGGGGCGCTCCAGGCTGTGAGCCACCCAAGGGCTGGGACTTTATCTCAGCTTCTGAAGCCCCCAGGCCGGTATGGACGGGGACACAGGCTGGCCGCTCAAGGACAGCACTTCCCCAAACACCACAGGAGGAGGTGGAAAGGGGACCCAGAGTCTGAGAAGTCAGAAAATCGTGCACGTGCTGCCCCCCTCCCAGAAATTCACACCCCTACACACCTGCCCCATGAGAAGTCCTGAAGCTGAGGGGTCAGGGCACCTTCATTAGCCCAGCAGAATTTATTCAGCCACAGGAAACTGTTACTCACAGTTCGGAATCAAGACTGATTCCGAACCTCCAACAAGGGCTCCCCGTGGAGCACACTTTGAGAAATGGTGACCCGCATGGAAGGAGTGAGTCATCGAGGGGCTGAATGAGTGAATCATGACTTCATTAAGTATTGGGTGAATGAACGGAAGGAAGGAAGGAAGGAGGGAAGGAAGAAAGGAAGGCGGGGAGGAAGCCCAGCTCCCAATGCTGCCCCCCACCCATATCTCCCCAAACGCACCTTGCCCCGCCAGGCGGTGAGGGGCTCAGACGGTGGGGATGAATCCAGATCCTAATGGTGCTGCCCTATTTATACCTGGGTCTGTATGAAAAGGGAAAATCTCCTCTGTTGTCATTTTAATCTACTTCCTCCTGAGGGAAGGCTGGGATATGGTGAGATTCTAGCATGATCCCCACCCTTCCGGGGCCATAGGGCATAATTCGAATCTCAATTCTGAGAATAAACCAGTGAACTGTAAAAGGAGAACAAAAACAAAGACAAAACGGATGGCAGAAGGCGGGGCGGGAGGGAGATGGTGAGTGCATGGAGGGTCAAGGGCACACAGGTCAAGAGTACACAGGTAACTGCTGGGCTCTGTTACTCCAAAAGCAGTCCAAGGATTTGTGCGCGGTTTCTTTGGGAGGTGATCGCAGGAAGCACAAGAGGAGTAGGGAATGAAGACAAGGGAGGGATGAGAACCCCGAAGGAGGGTTATTGCTGTGGGCAACTGCTGGGGAGTCTCTGCAAGAGTGGAGAACACACCTCAGAACTGTCCCGCCACCACGGAGGGCAAGAAGCCAGGGCTTCTGTGCACTCACCCTCCTTGAGTGGCCGAGGGTTGGCCGGGGGTGTTAACACGCTGGGCCTTGCAGTCTGTCCCGCACACCAGCAGAGCACGCTCCTGCAGCCAGAGAACATTCTCCAGCATGAGCAAGAGGACTGTGGCCGGTGACATCCGGAGTGGGCTGAGGGTTACGGGCCCTGGGGTGCGGACACACATGGGTGCCGCTGTATCTGCTTTCCTATTTGGGGACGGGGTGAGGACGGAGTGAGGACGGAGCCTGACCTTGGCTCTGCTCCACAGGGAGGAGATGGCCCAGCCCCAGCCAGCCTCAGGCCGGAGCCCCCCAGAGTGACAAGCAGTGGGGGGTGGGGGGACCCGGGCTGTGTGCAGCTTTCTCTTCTGCTAGCACACTTCCTCCTCAGCTTCCTGAGTGTTGGGGCGGGCCAGAGGCGGGCCAGCCTGGGCCCGGCCTGGGGAGGCTCACACAGCTCTCCTTGGCACCCAGCCCCCCGGAGCCACCATGAGCCAGCCCCGACCCCCGGGCCTAGAGGAGGCTGCCCTTGAGACCCTCCTGGGCGACCTCATCGGCTACTACAAAGAGGAGGCAGGGGCGGGCCGGCTCCGGGTCTGCAGGCAAGCAGCCCTCACCCACAGGGCCCAGCGGCTCTTGGACACGGGAGCCCCCCCTCAGTTCTATCTGCCTGAGCTTCTGGTCCCTGATCCGGGCTCCACTCACTCCTGCGGGGCACCCAGCCCTGCCCAGAGTGTCTGCCACGAACTGGTGCAAGCACTAGAATTCCTGGAGCTCATATCTGTCAACCTACTTCTGTTTCCCTGGAGGAAGGAAATCAGGTCCCTAAAGGTAGGCACCACCATGCCTCTGAGCCAGGGGGTCTCGGGTAGGGGGCCAGAGCTCTGTCTCTGGGGGGAAGAGCATATCCATCCTGCCCACTGACTCTAGTCCCATTTTACAGGTGGAGAAACTGAGAGCGGAAGAGGTTAATGCAACTTATCTATGGTCACCAGCTAATAAGTAGCCCAGATAGGCCTCAAACTCAGGCAGTGCAGCCTCCAGCCCCTAGACCATACTGCCTCTCAAAAGAAAAGGAACGGAGGAGCTCATAATCAACAAGGGGAGGAGTCTGGCTCTGGAAAGCTTTATTCTCTTCTGGCTCCAGGCCAGGACTGCTGGGTTGGGAGCCAGGATATCGGGGCCTCACCCCAGCTCAGTTATTCTCTTGATATGTGACTTGAGACCAGGTCCTGTCTAGTCTTTAGGCCCCAGTGTGCCCTTCTGTGAAATGGGACAGAGGGTAACATGATCATGGACCAGATTTCCATTCTAGCCGAATGCTCCAGCCCGACTGCTTCTCAGGAGTCTCCACTGCCCCCCGGGCATCTGCCCAGCCCCTGCTGGGTTGTGTTCCATCTCTAATAAACACCCCTGTTTGTTCCAGACATACACTGGGAACTTCGCCTACCGGGTGCAGCCTGTACTCTCCGAATACACACTGCACAGCCTTCTGGGCAGGCTGGGCTACACGGCCACCTCCGAGGCGGAGTTTTCGCTGGTCCAGGCCATCAGCAAGGAGGACGCCAAGCAGATGGTGTTTGAGATCTTCCTGGCGAGAGTTGCATGTGAGGCCATTCTGGAAACCTCGAGCAGGCAGGTGCCGGGACTGGGCAGAGAGAAACTGGCCAGGCCCCACTCCAGGCACAGCTCAGGGAGAAGGCTGGTGAAGGCCCACAACTGTCCCGTGGGGGCCCAGCCAGGCCCGGGGTCCCCAGAAAGGCTGGGGCCTGAGAGGGCCCTAGCCGAGGGCCCTGACCATCAGAGCGCTGTGCCGGTGGCCCTGAGTCTGCCTGAGGTCTTGACGTTCCCCTGCACCCCTCTTGCTGGCCGCCTGCTCCGCTTGGACTTCCAGCACCGCACCAGCAGATGCTCAGACAGTGAGGAGTTCTTGACCTGCTACAGTGACCTTGTTCTGCACCGGACACCCTTGTTCCCCAAGGACCTTGTCCTGAGCAGCTTGAAGGCAGACCAAGTCCAGGGCCCAGCCCAGGCTCCCAGCCCCCCTTCAGGTGAGGCAGTCACCTCCTCAGCTAGCAGCGGTGAGTGGTCCCCGGTCCCTGATGCAGCTCCTGAGAACAGAGTGGTCACCGTACCCAGCCAGCTCTGCCTGACACCAAGTCCCCAACTGTCAGGGAAGTCCTTGGATCCAAAGCCAGAAGCCCAGGCAGAGCCAGCCACCCCTGACACCGACGCTGTTCCTCCAAACACTTCCTGTGAGATGCATGAGCTCTGTGAACACCTCTCCCATCTCCTTGGACCCCCAACTCTAGCGGGCCATCCTCAGGGCTTCCCAGGCCCCGGGCTTGAGGGGGATGAACAACCAGAGCCTCTCAGGGGGCCAGAGCCAGCCGGCGAGGGTGGCAGCCCAGACAATAGGGTCACTCAGCTCTGGAGGGCGACTCAGACCCCCTCTCATGTACGAGAGCCCCCCAACACGCACTATGTCCCTCCCGTGGGAGCCAGAGGTGCCAATTCCCACCCGAGACCACCACTCAGGCAACAGCTGAAAACGTCACCCCTGGATGGCACAGGAACAGACACCCTGACTGAGCACATGGCTCTGCCACCAGCAAAGTGACTACTTAGAGAAGCGGCAGCTCTGGGGCCCACAGCTTGTCAGACGCAGGGACCAATCTGCTCATCAGTCCCTCTGGTCTCAGGTCCCAGCCCTGTCACCTACTGACTGTGTGACTTCGCGCCACTCACTCTCTCTGAGCCTTGTTTCCTCATCGGTAAAGTGAGTGTGGTCGGACCTACTCGCAGGAGGCTGGGAAGAGTTGGAGAGACGAGGTGTGCATGGCGCCCCTCAGTGCCTCCCTTGGGCGCTTCCTGTCCCTTCACGTCCCTTGGGCATATCCGAGGGGCAACTTCCTTCAGCATCCTTCAGGCACCTGTCACAGGGCAGATGAAAAGACAGCTGCGTAGATAACCAGACATATAATATACCCTTAACTCGCTTAGACTCCTCGGTCAGCCTCCCTTCACTCTCTACTAACTTCTGGTTAACAGAGAACAGAACCGGGGCGCCTGGGTGGCTCAGTCAGTTAAGCGTCTACCTTTGGCTCAGGTCATGATCTCCAGGTCCTGGGATCAAGTCCCACATCAGGCTTCCTGCTCTGTGGGGAGTCTGCTTTTCTCTCTCGCTCTCTCTCTCTTCCCCTCTCCCTTCCCCACTGCTCGTTCTCTCTCTCCCTCTCTCAAATAAAAATCTTTAAAAAAAAAACAGAACAAAACCACACTTGGGAGCTCAGGATCATATGCTGGCTCCCCATCCAAGGATCGGGGCTCCACTCGTGGGCCACAGGCCCCCCTCCACCAGCCATCTGTTGCTCCCACATGTGCACATACACACACACACACACTTGCACACAAGTGGGTACATCCAGAGGTGCTGCTCTCCCCACAGCATTCGCTACCCAAGCAAATGACCCTGTCTATGCACAAGCTAAAGCCAGAGGACCCTGTCTAGGCCAAGTTCCAGGATTCTCTTGCTCAATTTTCTCCAGGGGCTCCCAAGGCCACACCAAGCCCGAGGCTCGGCCCCTCACTATACTCCTGACCTCATCTCATGCCCCTTCCTTGCCCCCAACCCGCTTCAGACAAGACAGACTGGCATCTTCTAGATTCCCCAACAACCTAAGCCAACCCCTACCTCCCAGCCTCTGTGTAAACTGTTCACTTCCCCACTCCACACCCTGTCCCCATCTTTCTTGTTATTCACATCTCACCTTAATGTCACCTTCTTAGAGAGACTTTTCCCCGGCCACCCATCTATCACATCAGCTTAGTTTAATTTTCTACACGAAGACATTTCATTGATTCATTTTCCATTTCCTGCACTAGAACATAAGCTCTCAGAGAAACTTCACCTTGACTCATTCACCATGGTTTCCAAGGATCCATCAAATGAAACCATCAAATGAGTAGAAAACTTAGAAAATACAGATGAAAGGCACCTGGGTGGCTCAGTCCAATGAGTGTCTAACTCTTGATTTCAGCCCAGGTCATGATCTCAGGATTGTGGGATCAAGCCTCGCATTGGGCTCCATGCTCAGCACAGAGTTTGTGTGTCCCTCTCCCTCTGTTCCTCTCCCACTTGCACTCTCCTCTCTAATAATTTGATAAAATCTTTAAAAAGAAGGAAAGAAAGAAAAAGAAAGAAAGAAAGAAGGAAGGAAACAGGGGCGCCTGGGTGGCTCAGCCGGTTAAGTGTCTGCCTTCGGCTCAGGTCATGATCCCAGGGTGCTGGGATCGAGCCCCGCATCGGGCTCCCTGCTCAGCGGGCAGCCTGCTTCTCCCTCTCCCTCTGCCTGTCTCTCTGCCTACTTGTTCTCTCTCTGTCAGATAAATAAATAAAATCTTAAAAAAAAAAAAAAAAAAAAAAAGAAAGAAGGAAGGAAGGAAGGAAAGAAAGAAAATACAGATGAATATGAAAACAAAAGCAGAAGTTACTATAGTATCTACTACTGGGAGATACTCAATGTTATGGTATTAGCATAATTTGGCATGGAGACCAAACTCAGGACTCTTGAGATCAAGACCCAAACTCATATCAAGAGTCAGACACCCAACCAACTGAGCCACCCAGGCGCCTCTTGGTCTTTTTTTATAAATGTGGGGTTATAGTATTTATAGTGTTGTGTTCTGCTTTTATTTCCCAGGAAGAGAGTTATTTTAACTAATTTTAGATTTAGAGAAAAGTTGTGAAATAATGCAAGGAATTCCCTTACAGTCCTCCCCCTGCTTCCCCTGAAACTGACATCTTACATAACCATAGTACGATTGTGAAGAACAGGAAATCAACACTGATACAGTATTACTGACTAAGCTACAAACCTTTTTTAAATTTCACCAGTTTTCCCATTACTACCCTTTCTCCATTACAGGATCCTATCCAGGATCCCACATTGCATTTGTTACTTTTCTTTCAACTCCTCCAGTCTGTAACACTGTCTCAGCCTTTTGTCTTTCATGATCTTGATGCTTTTGGTCAAAATTTAATACTAATCAGTTTTATTTGAGTGTCACAATTTGGGTTTGTCTGGTGGGGGGGGGTTGTTTGTTTTTTGTTTTGTTTTATGGCTGAAGTTATGCATGTCTGGCAAAATATCATGAAAAAATGATGCTGTGTCCTTGGTGCATCTTATCAAAGAGTTCATGACGTCAATACATCTTATTACTGGTGATATTTACCTGCTGCATCCCTGGAATAAACCCCTTGTCCTAGGAGCCCTGGTTCCTTTCATTGGAGAAGGATGTTTAGACACCAAGATCCAGGCTCCAGGTGTGCTCACTGTTTCTGGCTGTCACTGCTTTCAAGCCTAGTCAGGAAACATACAGATGTGTACTAACCCATGCATATACACATGTGGCTCTCTTTCCATATCTATATAGAAATTTAAAACTGTGAGTTTATACTGATGCCTCTGCTTCTAATCCAACACCACAGGGTTTATTTTACCTGTGCCCTTTTATTTATAACTTCTTTCTCTAGAAGAGAATGAACCCCAGCTCTCTTAATCTACAGTCGACTTATTTGCTCAAGACTATTACTAGGGGTGCCTGGGTGGCTCAGTCGTTAAGCATCTGCTTTGGCTCAGGTCGTGATCCCAGGGTCCTGGGATCGAGCCCTGCATCAGGCTCCCTGCTCTGCGGGAAGCCTGCTTCTCCCTCTCCCACTCCCCCTGCTTGTGTTCCCTCTCTCGCTGTGTCTCTCTCTCGGTCAAATAAATAAAATCTTAAAAAAAAAAAAAAAAAAAAGACTATTACTAAAATTCCAGAATTGCTAACCATACCTCCATGAGAAACACGTTTAAAACTATAGGACAGCATTTAGGAAGAGTGATTTTTGCCTCTACTCTTCCTACATCCAGTCAAGACCTTGTTTTCCAGTTACTTAGGCTACTTCTTTATTTTCTCACCCCTCCAATGTGGCCGTTTTTCACGTGGGATGTTGTCAGGGCCACCTGTTTTTGTTTTCTGTGTTCCACTCCCCCTACATCCTCCATCTTATCAAGGGGGGTAATGTGACACATTCCTATGGTTCTAAGAGTCAGTTATACAAATGGACACATTCACACAAGAATCGTTCCCTTCTCCTCCCTGCAACCCCATCCCATCCTTCCCTCTCTCCAGCCTTTGTTCACCAGTCTGTTCAGTTTCTGGGTTATCCTTCCTGCATTTCCTCTGCATCTGTTTATGTTCTTAGGTTTCTCCTTTCTTTTTATATAAAAGGTAGCGTACCATAGATACTCCTTGGGATATTGCTTCTTTTTTCACTCAACATTGCTTTACGTCCTGGAAATCACACCTGTTCAGAGCTTCCTCATTCTTTTTTCTACTCCACCGTGTGGCTGCACCATAGTTTATTTAGCCACTCTGTTATGTAAGATCTTTAGGTTGTTTCCAAGTATTTTGCAGTTAAAACCAATGCTGCAATAAATAACCTGGTGCATAGATATTTTCCTATTGTAGGAAGTATATATTAGATCCCAGAAGTGGGATTGCTGGTTCACGATATAAGTGCAGATGTAGTTTGTTAGCTGTTGCCAAACTTCTCTCCAGAAGGGTTGTACAAATGTATACTCCCACCAGTAATGTATGTGAGTACTTTTTTCCCCACAGCCTCACCAACAGAATGTGTTTGCTGTTTTGGTTTGGTTTGGTTTGCCAGTCTGGTAGGTGAGAAATGGTATGTCGCTGTTCTTTTAATTTGCTTAGTCCATTTGGGCTTTTATAACAAAAATACCACACACTGGTGACTTAAACACAACCGAAATTTATTTTTCACAGTTCTAGAGGCTGGAAGTCCAATGTGGTGCCAGTATGGCCGGGTTCTGGCAAAGGCTCTTGGCCAGTTTGCAGACTGTTGACTTCTTGCTGTGTCTTCACATAGAAGAGGCATGGGAGCTCTGTGGGGTCTCTTCTTTAACAGCACTAAGTCCATTCATGAGGGCTCCACCCTCATGGCCTAATCCCCCCCCTCCTGAAGGTCCTCCTAAATACCATCGCCTTGGGCATTATGTTTTCAACAAGTGCACTTCGGGGGAGGGGCAAATATTCAGACCATAGCATTTGCATTTCTGCATGAATTTGAGTGCTTTTCACATGTTTATGGGCCATTTTTAGATCTTTTTTGTAAATTGTCTTTCACATCTTTTTCTCATTTTTCTATTTGATTTTTGGTCCTTTGTCCTTCATTTTTAAAGAATTCTTCATGGGTAGTTAGGAATATTTACCCTCTGTCTGTTACATAAGTTGCATTTTCTCCCGGTTTCTGGTCCTTTGACTTTGTTCATGATGGGTTTTATCACACAATTTTTAAAATTTTTATTTAGTCAAATTGATTAACCTTTAGTTTCCCCTGGATTTTGAATCATACTTAGGAAGCTTTCCCTAAATCAAGGTACTTGCCCGGTTCCAATTTTTACATTTAGATTCCTAACCACTTGGAGTTTATTCTTGGGTACGGTGTGAGATATGGATCTCTTTATCTTTCCCCAAAGGGTCACTTCGGCACCATTTGTTAAAAAGTCCATCTTTACCCCAGTGATTGGAGATGACACCTTGTTCATGTACTAAATTTCCACGTGCGCTTAGGTCTATTTCTGGGCTATTCATTCCACTGCTCTGTCTATTCACGCAGCAGTACCACACTATTTTGATACTAGAGGTTTTAGAATATGTTTGAATGTCTGGTAAGGCTGGTCCTCCAACATTGTTTTTCTTTTTCAGTCGTTTCCTGGTTATTCCTGAATGTTCACTTTTCTATATGAATTTTAGAATAACGTGTAGAGTTCCATAAAATAGACTGTGGTATTTCTATTGAGATTGTATTAAATTTGTAATTTAACTTAGGCAGAACTGACATCTTTGTGTTGAGTCCTCCTATCCAAGAATGGGATGTCTTTACATTTGTTCAAGTCTTATTTGCTGTCTTTGAGGACTTTTTAGCATTTTTCCTTCTTTGTTTTTGGATGTATCTTGTTAAATTTATTCCCAAGTACTTAACCTTCTTTGTTACCACTGTAAATGGGATTTTCACTACCCTTATGACTGCTGTTTACTGTTTGCATATGCTAATTTTGTACCCTGCTAGGTCACTAAAATGTTATTGTTTGTGTTAGTTTTGTCACTGACTCTGTGGGATATATTATGGTGTTAATTCTTTACCCCAGCAGAAGGGAATGCTGAGGGGCTGCTGGCGCCCTCCTGCCTCAGTGTGCATTTTCTCAGGGGTTATTTCAGGACGGGGGCATCTAGGAGGAGCTAAACTACATGCTTCATGTGTGGAGGGGCCGTGTCTGTCCTGTTCACCAGTGTGCACGTGTCACCCAGCACGGGGCCTGGCACAGAGTTGGTGCATGGGAAGTGCTGTCGAAAGACAGGGAGAGAAGAGAGGCCTGCTTACAGATGGCCCGAGGACTCTGGGCTAAGCAAATGGCTGGCGAAGATGCTGAACTACTAGCTTCCCCATAGCACTGATGAAGAAGCAGGTCTTAAAAATGAAAATGCAGCATCTCCACCACCCTGGCCTGGAGCAGCCCACTAACAGCTTCCCCCTCCAGGAAGGTGCAAGAAAGTCTGGTCTCTTCTCCAGCCAACTACAGAGAGCTGGAAGGGGTTTGAAGGACAGGGAGTAGCCTGGCGCGGCTCCAGACCCTCGGTGTCCATCCCCCTTCGTAGTCTGTGCAGCGTCTCTCCGCGTGAGGGAGAAAACAGAAGCCCGGTGTCCAGGGGAGGAAGAAACAGGACCAGAGAAGTGAGGTGACCTGCCCAAGGTCTTGCACCCAACAACCAGGGAAATGGGAGCCCAGCCTGTATTCGGATCCCAAAGCCCAAGTCCCACCCACAAAGCCAAGTGGATCCCAAAAGGTAAGAGTCACTTAAAACTTAACAACTGGCCACTGTCTACTTTTTCTGGGTATTTCCTAAGATGAGCCTGGAGCTGCCAACATCTGCCCATCTCTGGCTACAAATAAATCTGCTCGGTGCGTTAGGGAAAGGACGAGTGAGAGGTCACCTGAGCCCACTGAGAAGGAGATCTCCAAGAAGACATCAGTTTATTCTGTAAGGAATCCAGGGCCTTGTTGTTATAAGAAGTGGTGTCCGTTCCCATGGCCTGAGAAGCAGCTGTCTCTCTCCAGGCCCCTCTCTCATGCCATAGGATGCCAGCTATAGATCCAGAGTCCCCATGAGAAGCAGGAACATTTTTAAAAAGAAAAGGCCAATTGCCTGCCCCATGTTCTGTTATTCCAGAAGGGCCATGATGCACTTTTCAGAGGTACGGTCCCGAAGGTCAGCCTCAAAGAGGCCAGTGACCTGTACCTACTGAACAGATAGATCAGTCCAGGTGGCCCCCTGACTAGCTGGTGAAAGTACGCATCCACACCACTCCAATGGAAAGTGCCAGTCCCTGCAGCTGCTGCCATTACTCAGCCAAGTACCTGCTTTAAGGCCCCGTTTTCTGGGCCACATCAGATGAACGAACATTTCCAGGGACACTTGCCGCATACCGGGCCCTGGTCCAGACCCCTTCCATGTCCTGAGAAGTGAGCGATTCTCTCATTTGACAGACAGGGGAACCAACACTCACAAGACGTTCAACAACCAACAAGGGGCCAAGTTTTCTTGGGACTCAGGGATGGCCAATTCTAGAAAGTGTCAATCAAGAGAGGTGACTCTCAAAGGGTGGTCCCTGGACCACAGCCTCGTCATCACCTGGAACGGTGTCAGAGAACAGATTCTCGGGCACACCCCAGACCTGCTCAATTGGAAACTCTGGGGGTGGGCCTCATAATCCATGTTTTAACATGCCCTCCGGGGAATTCAGATGCACTGAAGGTGGAGAACTAGGAGCTAGAGACTCCCAAAGGGCACAAAAGCGGAGAGTCAGCCGCAGGTGCAGGTCCCCTAAAACAGTGCTATTCTCAATGTGTGTTCCGAGGAACGTGAGCATGCGTGGAGACTGTTAATGGCTATTCCCAAGAGGGGTTCTACTGTCAATGAGTTTGAGAGTCCCAGGATTAAATAAAGTTGAAAAGGGGGTTTGATCACAGGACTACTTGAGTTTAACTAATGTACCTTGTGCGTCTCAGAGAAAGTACCCAGGTGGCGCTTCCCAAACTTCCTGGACTACGGAACCCTTCTTTCTCAGAACACCTATTATTATCTCCCAAAACACCTGTGTTCCACAGACGCAGCCTTGAAGAAGAGAAAAGCCAAGAAATGCAGAAATTTAGGAAGATGGCAGTAAATGCAATACCTACTCTGGACTCCACAAGACTGGCTCTCTTTTGGCTTCTGTGTAATGACAGCCTTTAGCAAGCTCACTATCTTATGTAAAGCAGAGGAACACAGAGTTCACTCGGCCTTAGGGGACCTGCGGGGTTGGCGTTATGAGGAAAAGAAAGCCCCATGCCAGTGACCCTGGGGCCCCGGGTGAGTAATCCACTGCCAAAGCCCAGAGGCACCAGGCAGGGTATTATTGTTATTAGATTTTCAACAGGGAGGGCTGACATTTCCAGGAGCTCGTCAATTACTTTAATAACTGTAATTCCTCAGGCTGGGCAGGCCACGGGGATGAATGTTGCTCATTCCACAGCTAGGGGAGCATTTGAAGTGAGCGCCCTCATCCGGCCCCAGGGCTCTAGGAAAACAAGATGGCATAGATTGAACAGCACCTAGGGGCAGGCAGGTTCTGGAAACATCTACCTGCTCTCAGAGTTGTAAATGCTTCAATCCTTCCCCAGGTCTGGGGTGGGAGTCTGTGGGAGGCCCTGGAAGGGTCTCTGACTGAGGTGTTCCACAGGCAGGGAGGGCGGGGGGCGAGGGACGGGACTTCGTATCCAGATGAGGGGCTCAGGTGTTAATGAAAGGGGGTAGGAAGAGAAACAGAAAGGTGACATCATTTCCCAGGGTCCACAGTTAGGAGGGCCTCCTGAGAGCCACGCGGTGGGAGTGCGTCGGCCCGGCGGCCTGTGCCCTCACCTGGCTCCACCCAACGCAGGAGGCAGGTTGAGCCGCGGACACCGAGGACACTGTAGCACCAGGCGGTGAGGGAGATGTGATGTGAGGGCAGAAGGGAGGGACAGGTGGGGCCACAGGGCACCACGGCCCTGACGCCGTGGTCCGGCCCCTGAGTCCCGACTTCCCTCCTGCCTTTGCCCCACCTCCAAGGCCTCTGGCAAAATCTCGCTAGAACCTTCCAGCTTATCTCAGTTGTGCCTTGCAAAGCTCATCATCCACATTAGAATTAACGTGTGAGCGGCGGACAGTATGTCCTGATGCCAGCAGTAGCCGGAGGAGGAGTTCTGGCACCATCTTGGACAGGGAAGTGCCTGGAGGAAGGAAGCCACGAACCAGGAGGTTGAACTGGGAACAGAAAGCCAGCAGGAGCCCGGGGCCCCGATGGCCCTGGAGCCAGCACACCAGCCCCGAATCACCCACTTCCGCACTTCGATGTGACGCAGAAACACACTTCTATCTCATTTTTTTTTTTTTAATCACCAGGTACACGAAATATTTCTGAATGATTCTAATCATGTCTTTTGCATATAAAATTAAAAAGGTGACGTGTAAATTAGAATTATTTCACTAAAACTGCTGACTAAAAGAAAACGTGCTATTCAAAAAAATTTTTTAATTACCGAGAGTCAAAGCAGCTGGGGCCGCTCCAGGGCGTACTCCCGTTATGCCCTACGGAACCCCCCCTCAGGGTAAGAATGGGGCGACACCAGCCTAGCGGGGATGTCACTGCCCTGGCTTGCTCTGTCGGCAATTTAGAGACGCCAGCCCCGCCATGCTCCTCCCAGCCATTCCTGAGAGTCCCCGCGGGCCTCCCTTCTGCTCTAAAAACTAGGCCCCGTGCCTACCGTGTGCCATCTGCCCTCTTTGTGCCCTGGCTTTTATAGCTGCTCTGCGCCCCCCGGTGCCACTGGCCCTGCCTGCCACACGGGGAGAGCAACCCTCGTCCGTGCAAGCCAGGCACCAGCCGTTTCGTGGGACACAGCTGGCCCGCGAGATCTCGGCCCCCTGCCCCGGCCGCTGCAGACACACAGCATCCGCTCCACGGTGCCAGAGCAGGAGGATGGTGAGCTCTCCTGGACCCGTACAGCCCATGTTAGGAAAGATGGGGTTTAAAAAAAATGAAAACACATCCTCCTCCTGGCAAAAGGATGCTGTTGTGGGGGGCTAAAATCACGGGCCTAGGCAGCACGCCGAGATTAACATCAGCTTTTAGGTGAAGGATTTATTGGCGACCACGGGGCAAGACTTTACCTTCTTTAAAATCACATTTCCCCCAAAAGAGATGCTCAAATTGAGCTGTGGGGGGAAATCCCGGACTGTTCACTTACTTGGCTCGTCAAGCTACCGGGCAGCATAGGCCCTTGCCTCCCCCCGACGTCTGGTCGGTCCCTGACCTTTGGGCCGAGAGACACGTCCCCACTGGGCTGCTGCCCCCCCTCCTGCCCACAGAGCCCAAGAACTGGTCCAGGAGTCACAGCGCCTGCCTCCCTCTGGGGCGGGACCACCAGGGCTCCGGTCACCCACGTCGAGTCAGAGAGCTGCACGCAAAGGTGCCACACTCACGCAGAGGCTGGGACGAGGCCTTCCAACCCTCGCCGATGCCAACCGCTGCTCGGGAGAGGCTGAGGCCTGTTGCCCCAAAGTCACAACTGACCCCTCCCCATGCTTACAACCAGTCTTCTCGAAGCTCTCTCCACCCACCTCCAAAATAGCAGGAGCACCAGGGCTCCCAAGAGCCTTTGCTTGCAAGCCCTGATCTTCCAGTCCAGACTGCCCCCCTTAAAAGAATGTTCTTTCTCTTACTTCCCACTTGACTCAAGAGACAGTGGTGGCTTTGATGAGTTGCTGCAGCTGAGGGAAGCTAGGATATTTTCCGAACCAATAAAGATGATTTCATGCTGTATGGTCCAAGGGTCTCCTTGGATGGAAAAACATTTCAGAAAGACTTAAGGCCACTTGCGTCTCTCCCCGGGACCCCAAACTCTCAGTAATTCCAAGGGCAAAGCTCTTCACACAAGGCCAGTACAGAGTACGGAGGCCTCAGAAGCCAGGGCTGGTGGGCCCCTTCCCCAGCCTGGCCCTGGGCAAACCACCCAGGCACCAAAGCCATTTCCCCGACAGAGAACTGACAGCAGCTCCGGCAAGGCCTTCGTCACCAAGGAGACCGACACCAGTCAGGAGCCCACGCAGGATTCTCCTAAGGACACGGAAGCGCAGATGCCGAGGTGGTCAATGCCACAGCAGCCTCCTGCTGGGAAACCACTGAACACCGGGCTCAAGCCAAACACGACCCAACTTTGTGAAAGTCTAAGAGCATCGACTGTCCTCGAGAGCGGCTCAGATAATGAGAAAATGATGGTACTGACTCCGTGCACTGCTGGATCTCCCCATACACACGTGAGGTCTCTAGCAAGGGAAGGCAGGCTCTCGGGAGGGCGAGAATGTTTGAGAGTCATGCCGAGTCTGAACTGAGCCAACGCCACTGTCCCTGGCTCTGGGACCCTGGGGGAGTCTCTTAGCCTCTCTGAGCTTCAACTCTTCCCTGGGATGTGAGGCCACTACCTCACCCTCCTGGGTGGTCGGCAGAGTTAGAGACCCTAAGCCCAGCATTACTTCAGGCAGCTCTCCCCTTAATCACGGGGACCCAGCAGTGGGAAACCAGCAGGAGAGGTGCTGGGGAATGCGAGGCTGCAAACACCAAAGGGCATGACAAACCCATTGGTCCCATTTGTCATTTACCCTCAAGGGCCAGAGACCCAGGATGAAGACATTGGCAAAGAGGAAAAGACCATCAGGAAAACAAATGTGGCCAGATATCAAGCCCTCTTGAGAGTGGATATTTCCAAATTGCTCCTAATAGCTAACTTGGCAGCATTTTTCTGGCATGATCTTCCCCATCCTATGAACCATGTTTCTGAGTCTCTGGAGTTAATATTCGGTCCCGGTTTTGTTCAAAGAGTTTTAACATTTTCTGCACGTCGTGGTCAGCCTCAATCACCTGGAAATTAAACACACGGGTCACAGGGCTGCGCTTGACCTCAATACCATCCTCCCGTCACACATGAAGAGGGAGAGAGACGGAGGCACACAGGAGGAAGCGCAGAGGGGCAGAGAAGTCCAAGGTCACAGGCAGATAAAAAGGAGGGTTAGAGCAGAACAGCACCAGGTTCTAGGTCAATTCACATTCTCAACTACGTTTCCACTTAAGAATCCACTACGGTTGTCCCTGCAGCCAGCCCGTGAATGATTTTTTTTCCCCCGTCGTTTTATATTATCCAATAACGAGGGGGTGGGAAACAGATGTCACTTCCTTAAAAATCCAGTACAGTAATATCTCACTTTCCAGCAACCTCGTGGCCTGGAAGCACCATGATGAGTAGAAGTTTCCGAGCAGCCCACACAGATGTCCCTCCCTCAGATCCCACACGGGGCGCACATCGCCAGACGTCTCGGGATCCATCTGCCTGCCTGAAGAAATTGAGCAGCAGCAAAGCAGGGCAGGAGGGGACAGGGGAGCAGGGAAAGGCGGGGCGGGAACGGCACGCAATGAGAGGTGGCGAGAGTCGGCAGGAGAAGCTGCTACGGGAAGCCAACGCACAAACTCAAAGACATTAGTGGTCTGGGGCAAACCGTCCTACACACCTCAGCACCTCCTAGGGGCGCCACTGGGTAACAGCCCAGGACAGCAACTGGTGTTCCTTCAGATGCCCTGGGTCACCGAGGAGAGGGGCAACGAGGCTCCATGGCTGCCATCCACTGGAGAAGGGATGGTTGCATCAGAGAGACCACCATCCCAAGGGGCTAAAGCCAAAACCCACGTCTAGAGCCTTCAGCCATCTGGAACGCTCCATCACTGACGATGCTGGATAAGTGAGATGCTACTGTGGCCACTGGTGTAATGACATGGGACAGGTCACCTTTTCTCAGGTCTGTCCAACAGACCCAGAGACTCAGTCCAGAATCGGGACCAGGAGAGAGAAAGGGCCCCTTCTACCCTCCCTGCTTCCTTCTTCTCGATCCTCCAGCTCTGAAGGACCTGGCCCCTCCCCAGACTGCAGAGTGGCTGACATTCCCCAGGTCACTCCTCCTTCCAGAAAAGTCTCCAGCCCTGCCAGGGGGACTTACCAGAACAGGGGCTGTCACAGGGAAAAGGCCCCCTTGGATGAGCCACTCCTCATAGAGGTGGTGAATAGCATTCAGGTAGTCCTGCCAGGAAACACACACACACAAACATACACATGTACCCAGGCCTTCGGGAGCAGGCAGGGGAGCAAACCTCTCCAGCAAGGACCTCAGGCAGGGGCGTGAACGTCCATGACCACGGGGAGTGGCTTGGACAAAGGGGTCTGCAACTGCCAACCTGGCTCAGGCGGACAGTCATAAATGCAGCCACTCCCCCCCGCCCCAGCCAGCCGGGCCATGGCGACAGTTGGAGGCGCCCCTCCCACCACCTACTCCCCCTCCCCAGCACTGCCCTGCTCCGATAGTGCCCTGCACACACCCTCCCACCTGACTTCTCACGCTGACGCCCACTTCTCCATCAGCAGGGCCACCAGTTCCTTTATGTTGGGGTCCACAGCTGCTCCATGGCTGAGCTTCCCAGCCCTGGACAGCCTCTGACATCCCCACTCTGTCCTTCCCAAGAGGACTGTGACCCTCACTGGCCTAGGAGACCCACTCCCGCTGCTTCCACCCCACCCGACAACTTGTGACCTGTAAGCCCTCTAGACCATGAAGACCAACTTCAGAAAGCCCCACAAGGTGGAAGCCAGGGGGAAAGTGGCCCGGACATGCCCCTAAGCCATCAGCACCTCTGCACCACGCAGGACTGGACAGACACTTTCTCACGCGCAGGCCACGGTGCTCTGACCACCCACGGCCACCTTCCCAAGCAGCAATTTACTGCCAGCCCAGAAGCTCCCAGGGAAACCGTAATGCCACCTTTTCATCCACCATCGAGTTATCCCTTGGCAACAACAGATGTGTCCTATAGGCCTTGTCAGAAATGCTGAGATAAAGGCCCAGCTAATAATGGCTTGGAGGTACTCCAGACTTGCCATTTCTTCAGAACATCTGGGTCACCGCAGAGAGCGGCCCTGCCCTACCACGGCCTGACCCAGCCCCGCTCCACTGTGCCCTTCCTCCAATCACTCCTGTCTCCGGATTTCAAAGGAGCTACCCAGAAGGAGGCCTACGCCTTCATGGTTGGCATCAACCTTACTGGTACCTGGGGAAAACAAGGTTGGGTGGGCCTTGGGAGCCAGGCGGGTCTTCCAGGGCCCCTAGACCAGCCCATCCTGAGCTCAGACCCATCCCAGGAAATGCCTGCCCAGCCTCTGTCCCAGTGGCATTCACATGGGGCATTCAGTTCAGTATTATCTGAGCAACTCCTAGGTGCCAAGCCCTGGGAAACACGCTGGGGATGCAGGGAATAAAACCTAATCTTAAAAAGCTCACAGTTTGATGAGGGATGGAGAACAAAACATATAAACAAACAGTTTCAGTATGCTTGTCCTTAGGGTTGTGACCATCATAATCCCAGAGGTTAGGGGATCACAATGGAGGGGGTCAAGGAAGGCTTCCTGGAGAAGGTGACATCTAAGCTGAAATTGGAAAGCAAAAGAAGCCACTGCACAAAAGCACATTTGTGTAAGTGCAGGATGAGTGTGAGTGTGTGTGTAGCCACGACTAGTCTCTGTGGCCAGAGCATGAAAGGCAAGGAGTAGAGGGAGGTAACGTGGATCCAGCAGGATTCGAGGTGGCACGCGACAGTGGGGACTTTACTCTAGACGGCAACAAGACACCGAAGGGTTGGTGGCTGGGAAATTGCATGAGTGGTGCTCTGTCCTGGAAACATCCCTCCCCAGCAGCAACGTGGAGGCCAGGTTTGGGAGGGCATGTGGGGAGTGAAGGAACAGGACGAGGAGGGCAGTCCAACAGTTACAACAGTCCTGACGAGAGGCCCTGTGGCCCTGAGCCAGCACCCGGAAGGGCGAGGCACTGGGCAAGTACCAAAGAGGACAGCCTCGGAGCCCAGCACTGCACTCAGCACCAGGGACGGAGCTGCAAGCGGGAGGGAGTGTTCCAGCGAGGCTCCAGAGCTGGGCACAAAGGCAAGCAATCCTCAGGAGGTGGACAGGACACGCCCTGGGGGGCGCCTGGTGGGCAGCGGGAGAAGGGATGCCTTTGGGCCCACAGGGCGCCAACCACAGCGACCCGGGCCCCAGGAACTTCACACAGCGTCTCGGGCCACGGAGGAAGTCCGAGCTTACCCCGCAGTATGCTCAGTTCCCGTTTCTCTGTCCGCGACAGCACAATGATTTCACGGAGGGATGGAGGTAGTTTCCCGGGCATTAAGCAGCTTCAAGGGGGCTCTTACCAGGGGAATGACGGTCTCCTCTTCCCTGCATCTCAGCCGCAGTCTCTGGTAACAGGTCTCAGGGGTGGTCCGGAGATACACTGAGATTTAAAAAAATAATATGTGGCTCTAACGACTCTGTTTGTGGCTTAGAAATGGAGGCCAGGGAGAGGGGGAAGGCAGGCCTGTGCACAAGGCGTGGAGAGAAACACCTGCCAGCCACTCTGAGCAGGACACACAGACCACAGCCAGCCCCCAGCCTGACCACTGACCAGCTGTGTGGCCTTCAGGCGTCTTGACCCTCATGCCCACTTTCATTTTCTTTCCATGTCACCAGCCCCACGGCGTTGCTGTGAGGCTGAACGAAGGTCCACATGTGCACGAAGCTTCGCACGGGTTCTGGCCTCCTCCCTCCCTTACACACTAAAAAAAAAAACCCATCGAATCACAATGGACCCAGGGGAGAGAAGCTTGAGGAGGGACCAGAAGCCCCCAGATCCTGTCTGCCCTTGGAGAGAAGGCTGAACTAACGTGGGCAAAGAATCACCAATGGTCGGGGCCCTGCCTGCTGCCCCTGCCGGCTGCAGTCCTGCCAAGCACATGCTCCCTGCGGCCCTGGGGGCTGGTCAGGAGGGGCCTCTCACCTATCAAATCAACAGACACGTCGATGTTCCTCACAATCCAGTCAAACCATTCCGACAGAATCACATAGTCCACTTCAGGCATCTTCCCGCTATAACGAGAGGTGTTAGGGTTTTATGCATCAAAAGGATCTGTAGATGGCTTCTGTGTAAAGGGCACAGCCCGGGGCACCAGGGCACAGCATGATCCATGGGATACTGGGCCCCCAACACTTCTGACCCTCTGCTGCCGGGGGGACGGTTTCCGGTCTAATGCAGCCAGTGTCGTGGAAGTGCTCGATGGGAGAGCTCACCTGGGACTTGAACCCCAAGCAGAGAAAGGGGCTTTGAGGACTGACCCCAGAGAACAGGGACAGTGCTCAGGTTGGAAGGTGGAGCAGCAAACCAATTTCACCTCTAGAAATCTATTTTGTGCAAATAATCATGGATGCCCACTGCAAGCACCACCAAAAATAATGAAAAGTGAAATCTTGGCACACCAATATAACAGCAAACCATGCAGGAACCGAACGATGGTGTAGTAAAATAACATTTAATGACATGGACAACGCCCACAATGGAGTGGTCAATGAGAACAGCAGGTGTAAAATTGTGTGTAGTATGACCCAACTGTATTTCCCTGAGAAATCGTTCACACATTTTAAAAAAGACTGGAAAGAAAGACAACAAAATGCATCCAGTGCTTTTCTCTGAGCTGTGGGACTATAGGAGACTTTTTTTTTTTAGATTTTTTATTTATTTATTTGACAGCGAGAGCAAGAGAGCACAAGCTGTGGGAACAGTAGGAGGGTGAGGGAGAAGCAGGCTCCCCGCCAAGCAGGGAGCCCGATGCGGGGCTCAATCCCAGGACCCCGGGATCATGACCTGAGCCGAAGGCAAACGCTCAACCATCTGAGCCACCCAGGCGCCCCCCTGCTTTTTTTTTTTTTAGATTTTTTGGGACTATAAGAGACTTTAATGTTTTCTTTCTACCTTCCTGTATTTTCCAAAATCAGAGGAGGGGAAATAACTACATATTTAAAATGTTAACTGAAAAAGGAAGGAAGAGGGCACCTGGGTGGCTCAGTTGTTAAGCATCTGCCTTCGGCTCAGGTCATGATCCCGGGGTCCTGGGATCAAGCCCCGCATCGGGCTCCCTGCTCGGCAGGGAGCCTGCTTCTCCCTCTCCCACTCCCACTCCCCCTGCTTGTGTTCCCTCTCTCGCTGTGTCTCTCTCTGTCAAATAAATAAATAAAATCTTTAAAAAAAAGAAAAAGGGGGCGCCTCGGTGGCTCAGTTGCTTAAGCGTCTGCCTTTGGCTCAGGTCACGATCCCAGGGTCCTGGGATCGAGTCCCACATCAGGCTTCCCTTGCTCTGCAAGGAGCCTGCTTCTCCCTCTCCCTCTGCCTGCCACTCTCCCTGCTTGTGCTCGCTGTCAAGTAAATAAATAAAATCTTTAAAAAAAGGAAGGAAGAAATCAAGACAAGAGACCAAGAGTGCAAGAGGCCTGGCATCTCTCCCTGGCTCCTGTGTGTTTCCCCCGCCCCAAAAGGAAACCCACGGGGAAGAGCCAGAGGACGGGCAACCAGGAGACACACACCTGTCAAAGGCTGGGTGATCCTCCGAGGCCCAGGAGAGGAATTCTCCTTTTTAACACCCCACCCACCTTGGATACCATCTTGGATCCACTCAGAACAGGGTTTGGCAGGACTGGCTACAGGAGAGGGGCCGTGCCTGGGCCCAGGGTGCATGGGAGGGGGGCGGTTCTGACTGCCGATGAACAATGGGTGTGGGAGAAGAGCCCACTGGAAGGGGGGGTCTGGAGCTGGCCCCCTGCTGGGCGCTGTGAACAGACTTCCACCCGGCAGGGAGGAGCAGTGCAGGGATGGGCATGGAGGGAGGCAAGAAGCTCAGACAGTTGGAGGGGCGCATCTCGGGGAGACTAAGGCCACAAGCAGCCTTGCCTGGGGCCCAAATGACAGGGCATGGCACAGACTCAAGCCCCTCAACCTTGAGACCCCTATGGCGCCCTCAGGGGAGACCGGCTGTGCTCGGGCTGAGTAGCAGGAAAACATACGGTACCCGAGAGAGAATAGCAGGGGCAGAGGGCCAGCTGTGGGCACCTTAGAGGTCTTCAGGCATCAGACCTCAGCCAGGAGACAAGAGCAGACCAGAGCAGACTAACATGTGAGGGCGCCCCGAAAGAGTGGGGGAGGTCAGTGGGAGGAAGGTGCACAACCCTGCAGAGGGGACCAGAGCCACTGAAATCCAGGAACTAAAGATAAGGACTTTAGGACCACAGGCTGGTATGGCATGAGGACAGGTGGCTGCCCAGCCCCTAGTTCTTTCCTCTTACCTCCTTAAGAGTAGTCCATTATTTATTCAGGGTCCATCCACAGGCCTGAGTGTTTCAGGGAAACCTGACCTCAAGCCAAGCTTCAGGGGAGGCCCAGTTGGTCGAAGGGAAATACTCTCTTCTCATGAAGCTGAGTGGATCTGGCCACAGGGGCCCGGCCTGTACCAGTGAGACATGAAGGAGGTTTGCAGGGGTTTGCAGGGGTTGATGGAAACCATGCTTCCTCATACTTAGAGGAAAGCCACTGGCAAAACACCTACCCTCTGGCCAGCAGGTGAGAAGGCTGGTTCTGCCACAGCCATTTTGTCACCATGAGGGAATCATATTGAGGACACAAACAAGACACAGAGTCGGAAAACAGGGCCAGAGCCACTGAATGAAACCAACGCTGAAGTCTGCCATTAAGACAGCCAGTAACAACCGTGTTGTTCAGGCTACTTTGAGTTGGGTTTCGGTTAGTTGCAGCTGAGAGTATCTGATTTCAAGAAACCAAACCATTCTCTCTTTACATGCTTTCCTTCTCTGGGAAACAAAGGTTTGTTCTCCAGAACAAAAGTGACTGGGAGGGAATGGGGATTTCCAAAATGGAAGCTGCTCCTCAGCACCTCCCCTTCTCCACTACCACAGAAACAGAAGAGACTAGCAACACAGGGTCATGGGCCTGTGAGAGCTGCCCAGGGCGGCAGTCTCACAAGTCCCAGACGCTGCCTCAGCAACAGGGTGCCCAGCACAACCACCAAGCCACTGCCAGGGGCAGCACCTCTCTACAGAAAACCCAGCCATGTGACTCACCACCAGCGGACTGGGCGCACTGAGGGGGTTTTATGGTGCCTCCCCTTCCCCAGGGTGGCAAAACCAAGGTCCTGGGTCCACACGAATCCTGCTGGCTGTTTTGCTTGGCATGGTTTGCTGCCACCTTCCCCCTGAGGACCATGGAGTCCCCAGTTTGCAAAGCACAGGTCAGAACAGAAACCGCACACTCCAATGCCAGTCCCCGTTTACATTATTTTCTTTTGTTTTCACAAGACCTTGCGAGGTCACTTTTAGTCCTGATTTACAGATGAGGAAAACTGAGGCCCAGAGCAGTGAAGCCCAACTCAGTCTGAGCCGGAATTTAAGCCTGGCTCTCCATGGCCCCCAAACCCATATGATCTCCATGACATCATTCGCCGCCCCCCCCTCGCCCCCCCCCCCCCCCCCGTCCGAGCGCAGAGGGGGCTGTTCTGGACGCTCCAGTGCGTCTTTGGCCTCCGCCCAGGAAAGGCACAGCTCTCAAGGTCATGACCCAGGCCCGAGGCCCCGGTCTAGACCAGAGCAGGGGAGGAGTCCAAGCCCCTAGGCCAGTTAGGGAGGTAGGAGGCCCTGCCTATTGTTCCAAATGCAGGGTCTTAATCAATGTCCACCAGCCCCAGGTGAGTTAGCTGTCATTTCCCAGCTGGGTCCCACTCAATTCTTGTACTTCTGTTCTTAGAAAAAGGCGACCAGCAATCTTGTAAAACCTTTGCATTCAATTATTCAGCCCTGGGGCTTGGGCCACATAATGGCCTGCAAGGCATTCTCGCCTCCTTCAGCTTTTCCTTCCAGCGCAGTGCCCACGATCGATCGTTAAGGGGGTGATGTAACTGGAATCTTCCTCTTCAGCAATTACCATGCTGCTCTCACACCCCTGGCCAGCATAACGGCACTTACATTCTGTCCGCCCCAAACTCGCTGCAGTGGGGGGGTCCAGAAGAGGCAGGTCTTTCCCTAGGAGACCCAAAAGGCAAGGACGCCTTTGAGAAGGTTTGCTTCAGGGGATGCACAATGCCACTATGTGGCCTGCCGTGACCTTCCACCAGGGCCCCCCACCCCAGATTCCAGGCCAAGGATGGAATGTTTCTCAATGGCTTTTGAGAAAGAGGAAAGGACCAACCCCAACACGGAAGGGCAGCAGCAACTTGCCCCCTGCCCTGGGAAAGGGCTCTCCCCATCAGGGCATGGTAGGAAGCCTTGTCCTTGAGCACCTGAGGTGGGGGGGGGCAGACCAGAGGTCAGGCAGGAGCTGACAAGCCACACTTGCCATCCTGGGGTTCCCAGCACCCAGCTGACCTCCCCACAGGTGGGAACCAGAACATCCTATTTTAGGTGTGGGCCAAGGATCCAGCCAGGCTCAGTTCTAGCATACATTTGGTTTAGGCTCAACATAACGGTCATCTGTATTTGGGGGGGAGCAGAAACGTCTCAAAACACCTACTCTGTCAGTAACACTTCGTGGTGGCTGACCCACTGCATCGAGGAAAGCTGGCCTTGTAAGGAGACTGCCGGCAAGCGAAGCCCGCGTTCCACACTACCCCACACCCGTCACTTCCTTAGCTCTGGCTGCAAACACGCTACTGTGCCTCCCCGCAGAAAACCTCTGGCCTACGGCTGCACCTCTCCTGGCCCAGGAGTAAACCTGGAGACCCTTCCAACAAAGAAAACACAACAAAACCCCCAACAACTAAAACCTGAAGCAACAAATGAGAAATGAACAAACAGCGGGCAGCGCAGGAAAACAGGAAGCCCCGCATTGCAGAACTTTCACCAGGATGGGCCGCCTGCCCTCAAGAAAGCCCGCAGGACTGGGCTCTTGCTCTCCTGACCCCAGGGAAGCCACAGGAACAAAACTCTCAGGGGAAAGGGCCCGGCATTAGGGTGGAGAGCTCCTTGCAGCTGGCGGCTGGCTTCTTCTGAGGCCTTACTCCTCCAAGTGCGCTCCCCAACCAGCAGGATGGGGGCCGCCCAGGTTTCTTCAGTTAGAAATGCAGGTTCTCAGGCCCCGCCCTGGACTCCGCAAAGCGGCTCATGTGTGTTAACAAGATGTACAGTGATCTGCGGCCCTCGGCCCCTGGAGGACTTCAGTGAAAGGGTGTGTGAAGCACCGCCTTCTCCCACATCCCTGTAACCCGAGTGGCAGATGGCCTGGCCCCCCAGGCTGCCACGGTGTTCCCAGCAGCCTCTGGAGTGCCCAAGTTCATGCACCAACCAACAGCCTCCGGGCTGCATCAAGTGATACCAGAGGCCGATCTTCAGGCCCCAGTGAGGTCTTCGGGGGAATCCATGCTCTCCCAAGGCTGTATGAACTTGAATCAATCAGATCCCAAGAAAAGGAACAGGGACACAGTGAATTTCTCCTGTGGGTCACAATCCTACAGAAATCCTAACCACAGACGCCAGGCATTCTGGGAGGGCCAGGGTGAGGCATAAATATGAACAATAAACATCAGGCATAAATATGAAGTTAACAGGGCAGGAAAAAGGCTTAAAAAAATGAAAAGCTATAGTCTTCTCCTACACTACCCACAAGACAGCCATGTTTTGGGCAAGGGCCATGTTTTCTTGGACCTACGACCTCAACCACAGCCACAGAGATCAGGAAATCAGAACCAGCCATCAGAGGTGCTGGAATGAAGGGCTACGGGCATGAATGACCAAAGGCCACGGACATCAGCTAAAACTGCCTCCTGGGAAAAGAGAGACTGATGGCTCCCGGGGAAATCTGCCAGGTGTTGGGCAGCCAGCAGGTAGGGGACGGGGGGCGGGGGGGGGGGGGCGGTGGTGACGGTTAACTGGCGAATTTCGTGAAGAGCAGGGTAGGCAAGGACCTGCATAAGGGGCACAAACCCTAAACTAGGCAACTGTTCCATAGGCTCTCCAGAGATGGATGACAGGACTTAGAGATGAGAGGGGCTTGGGGAGCTTTAGGAACTTGGCCGTGCTCACAAAGACAGCAAATTCCAGAGCCAGGAGGGGACCCAGGTTCCCCGAACTCAGCACTTCACTCTCTCCTCTGGGCCTCTGGTCATTCCATTCCAGGTTATCCTCTTCAAAAGGAGCCACTGGCTGCCACACAGAACCCGCCAAGCTGACGGCAACTACAAGACAGCCAACCTCGCTAGGCAAAGGGCACAGGAAGTCCCACCCTGCCGCCCAGGGTCCACGAGACAGGCTATGATGCTTTCATCAGAGCAATAAACAAACACCGGTGGGGCTCCTTTGTTCTTTCTCTTCCTTCCTCCGCCTGTCCCTCCCTCTGGAGGAGGCACTGATAAGCAGGGAGCAAAGGAGGGTGAAAGGCTAGGTACACCTGAGGTGGACACCTCGGCCTCACTGAAATCCCAGACAGGGCAGGGGAGGGGCGCAGACTGGACAGGGCTCTAGCATCAGGCCCACTCCTGCTGGAAGGTCGGAGGACAAAGCTACGGTCAAGACTTGCCCTGGCTGCTCCTGACCCCATGGCATTAATCTAATGCTCAGAATGGATGCAAGCAGAGGCTCTCGTTCTGGGGCCACACAGCAATGGGCATGATCCATGGCAGCTCAGGACCAAAGGAAGCAGCCTTTTTAGTGGCCCCTCGAAGGAAGGGGCGTGAAGCAGCTGGGGCCAGAGCCTGGGGAACATGTCCAACTGGACCCAAGAGCAGCCCCAAGTCCCATTGCCCAGCAACAGCTTAATGATACGGCCCAGGTACCGGCCCCGGGCTGGGTCCGTGCTAGGCAAGTACACCTGACGTGGCCGGTCCTCCTGTCCTCAAGGAGTTTATGGCCCAGCTGGGGGGCGGGAGGGGACGACACACGATAGACAGTTGAACAAATAAAAATAGACTAAGTTGAACCACGTGTAACTGCCATTCTTGTAGGTCAAAATTGGTCAAATGTTAATAATTTCATTGGGTTCAACTTACTTTAAAGTTGTCTTAAATACTATGAAAAAAGGCAACAGGAAGAAGTAATTAAAACTGACAAAGAGGTCTGACCCATCTAGACAGGGTGGCCGGGAGGCCTGGGAGAGGCGACACTGAGGACAGCTACAGACGAGAGCGAGCAGGGAGCCGGCATGTAGAGAGTGGCAGGCGGATGTCAGGATAAACCTGACGTCAGGACCTCTCGGTGAGGGAGCTCAAGGTGGGAAGAAGCAGTAATGTGGGGGCTGGCAAGGAGAGGGTGACCAGGCACACAGCTCCCGAGGAGGGAGGGGCGTGGAAGGCGGCCACGCTTCAGACCGCAGCCTGTAGCCCAGCTCCCCAAGACCCCTAAAATCAGCAGTCCACTGAGCACAGACATCGGGAGGGTCCCAAGCCTCTGAGGCCTCAGCACGGTGCGCCACCAGGAGTCCCCTAACTGTGCCTACATGACAGAGTCCACTCGCATGAAGGCAGAAGACAGTCTGGAGTGAAATTATAACAAACACTGCGCAAGATGTTCTAGACTGAATGCTCTGTGTCTCTGGGTCTTCACCCGGCCCCACATCCTCCCACGTTGCCACGTGACCCACAGGGGCCCTCCCAACCTCTCAACCTGGGGTCGGCCAATGGGATGTTAGCAAATGTGAAGCTGAGGCCTGAACAGTGCTCATGCGTTCCTGCTGGTGCCTCTGCTCTCTGTCGTCACCATGAGAAGTGTCCAGGCTAGCCTGCTGGTCCCAGGGGAGGAGGAGAGGCAAGAAGAGAGAGATGAGTCACCGCGGTCAGCCCTGCTGGAGCCATCCTAGACCAGCCAACCTCCAGACATACCACGGAGCCCGGCCCCCAAGGTCAGCAGAGCCACCTGGCCCACCACCCTTGACACCTGAGCAGTCGCTGCGGGAAAACTGCCGCTGAGGGTATCTGGCTGGTTGTTACAGAGGGTTACTGTGGCCAGGGGCTAACAGATACAAGAGAGCAGGAACTCAACAGCCATCACACGAATAAACAAGTTCCGATTTCATTTCTACAAAATGAATGGTTTCATAAATTAGCAAGTGTGCAAACCACGGTACCTTCTATATAGGTTTTCTACAAAAATATATCTTGCGCTGTGAATCGACCGCTCCATCAACCGCACGGGAGATGTCTAAAAGAAAACAAAGGGATTCACTGACTCGGGTCAGGAAGGCTTGAAAGACGTCTGTGGCTCCCCCTGCCTGCGGTCTACACCTAACACAAGAACAGAAAAGCTGTGGGAGAGGGAGGCAGGCACCAGAGCAACAGTGGGGGTCCGACATGGGGCTCAGCTGCGCTCTGCCCTCAGTCCGGGCCCCTCCCCACATCCCGAAGCTCAGTGGCAGTGCAGCGATGCAGGGGCTGCTGCTCGTCAGCAGCAGCCTCTTTCGGAGGAGAGGTGAGGCTCAACTGGATTATCGATTTGGGGAAGGGCTAGAAAAACTGCCAATTGCTGTCCAGCAGAGTGTTGTCAAGTGAAAAGTGTGGTAATCATGGAGGTAAGCAGTGTGCACTTGCTTAAGCACAGGGATCTGTATGCCGGAGACAGAGCCCTGAGAGGGCTGGGGTGCGGCTGACATTTGGGAACTCTGCCCTCAGCGACTAAGGCCTGGCTCTCTGGAACATCGCAAAGATGTGAGACCTTGGTGCCTCCTCACAGGGCCAGCTGGGGACCACTGCAGCCCTTTGGAAACTGGGAAGGACTCTGCCCAACCAGGCACACCCTGCTCTCTCTCAGGCTGGCCCACAGCACCCATGGCACCTGGACCGGCAAATCACGGGCACCTTCAAAGCCATAACCCAGGAATTTCCTGACTCTCTCTCCTTGCGTTTATCTGTCCGTCCATCTTCCTTTCCATTTTTTCCATCCTCTCCTTACTTAGGACTCTCTGCTGCCCATCTGTTGCTAGCCCCCCACTCATCCATCTCTCCTTCCGCTCCTCTTTCCTTGTCTGTCCATCTCTCTCTCTCTGCGTCCTTCATGGTATGTTTCTCTAAACACAGAAACACATGTATGTCCCCTCATATTCAGATCTATTAGATGCAATTTAGATTTGCAATCCAGTGCCTGCTCAGGGGAAGCAGGATGGGCAAAGGGGGAAAGTGCCAACCTCGGATGCTCTGACCTGTATCATTTAGACAGATACTTGGGGAGACAGAAATGCATATGGTTCTGCTCCTGTCTTTCCATTTTTTTTTCTTTTCTTTTCTTTTTTTTTTTAATTTTATTTATTTATTTGAGAGAGAGAATGAGAGACAGAGAGCATGAGAGGGAGGAGGGTCAGAGGGAGAAGCAGACTCCCCGCTGAGCAGGGAGCCCGATGCAGGACTCGATCCCAGGACTCCAGGATCATGACCTGAGCCGAAGGCAGTCGCTTAACCAACTGAGCCACCCAGGCACCCTCTATCTTTCCATTTTTAAAAGATGCAGATTTGTAGAATGATAGCTATCGTCACAACCGCCCAGCCCTGGATCAAACCATCCAGCGGAGTGGCTGTGGCACATCACCGGCTGTAGGGATCTCCCATCTCCTTCATGGAGAGCATCCAAAGCTGGCCTTTTGGGTTGTGCTTTCAATTTTGAACCACAATCAGGCCAATCAGGCTCTTCTTAGCCAGCCTGTTTTGTAAGAGACTCTGCCCCTGTTCATAGGCCTGATGGAAGGGGTCTAAGCAGCATGTTTGTGCCCTGTGATCTGTCTCAACACCTGACTGGCCCAGGGCTAGGCACAGGACCCAAGCCAAGCCAGTCCAATTCTTTCTCCCAAGAATTTGAACCAAGAGCCAGATCTTGTGAAGGTTAGATCAGTGGTTCTCAAACATGCAAACAAAACAAAGCATGCCTTAAAATCACCTGGAGAGCGTGATAAAACACAGCCTGCTGGGCCTCATCTCCAGAATTTCTGGTTCAGCAGGTCCGAGATGGGGCCCGAAAATGTGCATTTCTAACAAGTTCCCTGCTGCTCCAGGTCCAGGCACACTCGGAGAAGAACTGACGTAAGTAACGTTGAGCCCAGAAGTAGTCAGGTCGTGAAGACTCGGGCTCACTGTGGCCTGCCTAGCAACTCTGTGGCTAGCTGAGGTTGCTGGGTGGGGGCGCTGGAGGCTGGACCTGGGAGAGCTGCAGGAACAGGAAACCTTGGTCCCAGACACAGAGAATGCTGAGCAGCGCTCAAGGTCCCAAGCAGCTTCCTTGTGAGGTTTCCCTTCCTGGCAATCACATAGCCCCCACGTGAAGAACACTTTCAGAAGGCTGAAGCCGAGCATCTGAAACATACCTGAGGACGAGTGTGGTGGTCCAGCATGGTGAGCTGCACGTACGTCTGCAGCGTGAGGCCCCATCGACAGGCATCGTGGTACATCAGACCCTGCACAAGGGAGAACGCAGCATTTTACCTCAAAGAGCTCTAGCGATAGGACTCTGGTCTCTTCAGTCACTGATGGGTTCTCGTGAAACCCACCAGGGGCTGTGGTGGGGCCAGGAATGAACCCAACATGGTCACGGGGCCCTGAGGACAGAGTGAACAGGCACTGGGGCAGTGACAGGACAACCAAGTAACAGCTGTGACAGGAGCCTATATAAAGTCCCCAGGGAACACTCACTTGGTCACTTAACAAGTGTTGGGGAGCTCCCTGCAGTCATTTCTCCACCTAGCAGTCAACATGCGCCTGAGAAACCTCCATCAGCTCTTGTTGCTCCTCTACTCAGAACCTTCCAGTGGCTTCCCGTTGCAGCCAGAGTGAAATCCAAAGCCCGTACCAGGGCCCACAGGGCCCTAGAAAATGACTTGCATCTTCTCTTGTCTCCTACCATCCTTCCTCTGACTCAATGTGCTTCCAACCACAGGAGCCTCCTGAGTGTTCCCCCAAACACCCAAGCATGACCCCACCTCAGGGCCTTTCATTCGCTGTGCCTTCTAACAACATTCTTGCTCCGTTCCCTGCACTGCTCACTCCCTCCCTATGTTGAAGTCTGTGCTCCAATGTCACCTGAGCAGAAATGCCTTCCCCAACTATCTTATCCAAAAGAGCAGCCCCATGCCCATCATTTTCTCTTGCCTGTACATATAAAACAGTCCGTGTTCCATATTCCTCTTACTAATAATCTTAAATTCTGCTCTTTTCCACATTTTTGCTTTTGTTTTTTTCTCTTGGTGCTAACGAATGAAATTCCAGCGCCCGCCTCAGAGACCCTTGACCTCAGAACATGAATATGCTGCCGTTTTCCACGCGTCCCCTCCCTCTTCTCCCCCTGCCCAGGGAAGAGCAGCACCACCAGTCCCCGCACTTAGGCGGAAGTTGGCTATGCATGCAGGAGACGACACACCCACCAGAGGATTATGACCGCGGACATTTCTCCACTTGGACACTGGCTCCTGTAACACCTGCAAGAAAAGAAAACATCAGATGTCTGCCCTCAGGATGCCGGTCCCCAGAGTGGACCAAAAGAGCTGGGCAACCCTCTCTGAGAAGCCACAACTCCACCCAGACATGGCTTTCCCACAGTGACCTCAGAACGGTGTCCATCCCTGCATGCAAGACTGCACACATGCCACATTTCCGGCTGCCTCGGGAGCTCCCTGAGGGCAAGGCAGTTCTCTCCATCTCTCCTCCCTGTGTGCCATCCCAGCCCTGACTGTCCCCATGTGGGGCTGAGCAGACGGGAGGAGAAAAGGCAAGAGGGAAGCTACCTGAGGCACTTCCAGCCAGCTTCCCCACTTGGGGGCTCTCCCATGACCCCAGCAATTGGCTCCCCCTGGTCTCTGCATTGGGCATGCTGACAGCTAAGAGTTACGTTGCATTAGTTCACTTCCTAAACTGTGCCAGAGCCTCTCTGGGGTACAGGTATGTGCTGGAAAGGATTTAAATGGGGCTCTTGGGGCCAAGATTTTGAGAGTACCTGGATCCATCTGGGGACCTGAAAGTGCATGTGAGAGGGTCTATAGGTCACAGAAGACCAAAGGAAAGCAATGCGTGTGACCCATGAAAAGTAACCTCCCCCCACCTTCCACACCTCTGTGCCTTTGCTCATACTGTTCCTTCTGCCCAGTATGTTCATGTCACCTCATTTCACATCAACTTCCATGGCATGGAAAACTCCTACACATCCTTCAAACTCCAGCTCAAATATCCCTTCCTCTGTGAATCATTCCCTGCCCCTCCCAAATGCCCTTTCTTTCTGGGTCTTCAGCACTCTATTCCTGTCCCAAGTAGCATGTGTTGCCCCGCCCAGGCCACGAGAGGCTGGGCACAGGCAGCCTTGACCTGCGCCCAGCTGAGGCACGATCAGGCAACACTTAATGAGAACTCACTGTGCCAGCCGCCATGCTCAGGAAGAGCCAAACCACCTCGGTCCCTGCTTTTATGAAACTTTAAACTTGGGGCGCCTGGGTGGCTCAGTCAGTTGAGCGTCCGACTCTTGGTTTCGGCTCAGGTCACGATCCCAGGGTCCTGGAATTGAGCCCCACAAGGGGCTGCGTGCTCAGCAGGGAGTCTACTCAAGATGCGTGCGCGCGCTCTCTCTCTCTCTCCTTCTGCCCCTCCCCCTACTCACGTGCCCACACATGCTCTCTCCAACTCTCTCTAAAATAAAGAAATCTAAAAACAAAAAACTCACTGAGAGAAGCAGACCTTAATCAGATCATCACAGAAATCACGTATTTTTAAGCCCTGAGAAGTAGTATAAAACAAGGTTACAGAGGGACCAGAAGAATCTACACCAAGAAGGGTAACCTAGCTGGGGAGGTCAAAGAGCGCTGAGCTGAGATCCAAAGGCTAAGTGAGCTCTTCGGAAAGCCGACAAAGCTCTCCGTATTACAGAAGAACCAAACAAGGGTGTGGTCCCCCGGGGCCAGCCAGCCGGGTCTGGGGTCTGGCTCCACCCCATAGCAGCAGCGGACCCTGGCCATTCATTTCCCTCACTAAGCCCATTTCCTGCTCTGCCACCGAGGTAATAATTGTACCTACCTCACAGAGACGACTCTCATAAGGGCAAAATCAATTAGACAACAGAAGGAATCCTCAACATACTGCCTGGCATACAGTATTACCCTCCTAGGTGCTGACTCTCGTTGTGATTTAGGGGCACTTATGTGCCACTTAGGTGGCACTCTATAGGGCACTTTAGGGGCACTTATGTTCTCAGGTCTCAGAGAACATAAGTGCCCCTAAAGTGCCCTATAGAGTGCCACCACTCAGGACAGGCATATCAGGAGTCCCTAAGTCCCCCGCCTCCCCAGGTGTGATGACTCACCAGAAGGACGCACAGGACACAGCCTAGAGGGATATTCACAGCTAAGATCTGTTACAGGGAGAGGATACAAAACAAAATCGGCAAAAAAAAGGGGGTGCACAGAGCAAAGTCTGCGGGGAGACCAGGCACAAGGTTCCAAGGGGCCTCTTCCAGGGGAGTCACACCGGAAGCACTGAACTCCCCCAGCAGCAAGCTGTGACAACACGGGAGGTGGCGTCTACCGGGGAAGGTGGCCTGAGCGCAGCAGTTCAGGGTTTTTGTCAGAGTTCAGCCATGTAGGCAGTCTCTGGCCACCACATAAAAAAATGCCAGACTCCCAGAAAGAAAGCAGGCGTCCAAAAGAAACCATATTGTTTGCACAAACAGTTCAGGCACAGAGAGCCATCTCTATCAGTTAGGAAATGGTGGAACTCTCCTAAAATCTAAGTTCCCACACGCCAGCCAAGGGCTGACCTTGCACACAAGCCACTCTGAAGACAGCAGCTTGGGCCTACGAACTCTTTTCTGCACAAGCGAGACTAGGGCTACAGAACATTTATTCTTTTAATCAAACCATGTGTATATCCTTTTTAAAGATTTTATTTATTTGAGAGAGAGAGATTGAAAGAGAGAGGAGAAGCAGAGAGAGAGGGACAAGCAGACTCCGTGCTAAGCAAGGAGCCACTTGGGGCTCGATCCCAGGGCCCTGAGATCAGGACCTGAGCCAAAATCAAGAGTTGGATGCTTAACCGACTGAACCACCCAGGCGCCCCTCAAACCATATATATGTTTAATAGAAGTAAAAAGCAGGAAGGGAAAGAAGGAAAGAAAATACTTCTAAACATTTGAAAACTGTAGGATCTAGAGTAACAAAAAAGAGACAGAAACAGAAAAAATTACACCACGAAACTATTCCAGGAAGAAGAGTCAGGGTCTTAGTGCAGAGGCACTTCTCAAATATCTGCGAGGTTATTCTGAGTGACTGGGCTGTAAATAAACTAGAGATTATGTTAACTGGCTACCCATGGTAACATCCCCCAGCTTAGACACAAGTATCTCAGATGTAACACTGTAATATTTCAGCCACTCTCAACATGTCTGTAGAGCCCTCTAAACCAGACCTCAGGGAAGTCTATACCTGCACGGTCTAACACAGTGGCCATGAGTCACATGTAGCTCTTACAAACTTCAAATGTGACTAGTCCAAATTGAGATATACCGTAAGTATAAACTACATTCCAGATTTCAAAGACTTGGTATGAAAAACAGAATGCAAAACAGCTCATGGATGATTTTTATACTGATTACATGTTGACATGATAACATTTAGAATATACTATGTCAAATTAAGTATCCTTTTTGGTTTGTTTTTGAGCAAAACTGTTAGAAATTTCACACTATATATGTAGCTCGCATTTTATTTCTATGGGATACGGCTGGTCTACACCCTCTGTAAGTCACTCCATCGAGCTTTGACACCCCCTCGAACCCCGTGTGGAGGCCGTACCTCAATGCCTGTTGTGTTGGAGAAGAACTCCAGGCACGTCGTCTTCCCGCTTGCAATGTTGCCCTCAACACAGATCTAACAAAAGACAAATGCCCATGAGAACCAAAAATCAAGCAGCTAGGGGAGTATCCCAAGGAAGAATTTCTAGGGAAGGGCTCAGGTGAACAGCATAAACAATTCAGTCCAAGACTTCAATGTGCACATAAAATTCCCACCACAGGAAATTTCCAAGGTCCCACCGTGAGCAGTAACAACAATGCTCAGCTCCAGGCCCACCACTGATGGCCACTGAGCCACTGCCCTCCAGGACAGGCCCTCCAGGACAGACCCTCCCTTATGTCGTCTCCTAGACCACACACAGCTTGCCACTGCCCACCCAACTCTGCCCTTCCCTAGCTCCACCCCTCAGACTATTAGATTTTAGGCCCAAGTGTCCTACCTCCTTAACCAGAGCCTAGGGCTTCGGGGCTGGGAAGCATGTGTACGTTCCGTAGTACCTCACTCACTACTTTACACAGAAAAACATGGACTGGAAAGTATTTAGACAGGAGAGGACTTAGTGGAACACCTTGCTGCAGGCCAGGCCATAAGATGGGTAACGTATACCAGGACCACATTCAACCTTGCCAGCTAAGTAGTGGGTCCCAACACTTTCAAAGAAGAGAAAAATGAGGCTTGTAGGAGGGAATAAAGCAGAGAGGACAGTTTGAATCCACACTCTGCTCACACTAACCGCACTGGGAGAGCAGGCTCACAACCATGAGGGCACAGTGACCTTTAAACCCAGACTGGAGGCACCCACAGAAACGTGGGCCATGTAGATGACTTGCCCAAGGCACCGAGCCTGGCCAAGGAAAGAGATGGAATCACACGTAGGTCTGGCAGACTCTTTTCATGACCCCAGGGAAGCCTCACTCACACCCCATATAAAACACAGGGTCACAGTGGGCCATCTCACCTTGCTCCCCCCACTATAAACTCTGCCAGTCAGCTGCGAAGGTTCCCTCCTGCCTTGATCCTAAGGGGTATCCAGAAGACCAGACAATCACACTTCCAACAGAGGCCAGGCCCCCCTCCGATTCCAGGTGCCCACCAGCTCACTCCTTCAGAACGTAAAACCACAAAATGAACCTAATGGAGGCACAAAAGGCAGATCCCATCAGGGCCCTAATGAATTTGATGTTTTATTGCTGCTCTTTAAAGGAAACAACTTTTTCGCTTCCTAGAAAATGAAGAAGAGCTCAACCGTCTGCATAGACTTTGCTTCTTTCCCGTTCACTGCAGGAGATATTGTTTAGATGAGACCTTCTTCCAGAAGTTCCTGTTCCTATTCTGTGGTGGTGACTGACTTCCTGGTTGCAACTCAGCGCAGACATTCCCTAACTATCCTGTCCCATGTGACGTCCCCTGGGTACCTCAATTCGTCACCTCCCAACCCCAACATACAGCTCCTCTTCCTGTTCCAGTCCTCAGGAAATGCTGCACCATCTACCCTCAACCCCCTGGGTGTCTCCAGCCCTCACCCAGCAACTCAGCAACTCCTCCAGGCCCTGCTTCCCACTCACCTGCAGAACCTGGCCTGGCCCCCTGGCCCCCAGTTAAGGCCTCTACCCCACGTGGCTGGAGCAGCCTCCCCAGTGGCCTCTGTGCCTTCCAGTCTGGCCCAGCAGTGCCCCTCAACCCCACCTGTGGTTCACCACCACCATCTCTTCCCGAGAGGCAAACCAGATCACATCCAGTCAAGTCTTTCAGTGGCTCCGGGTGTTGGGACCTGTCTCCCGTCCCTCCTCACCAGCTCTCTGGGGACCAGCCCGAGCCTCGGGCCTGCAGGCTCCCTTCCTTCTATGACTCATATTTGTAGCTCCCTCTGCTCCAACACTCCTGCCTTGCCTTTCCCTTGATCTCCCAGGAGGCTTCAAAGCTCCCCAAGGCTCCCCTCAGGCACTGTCCTCTGCAGGCCCTGCCCCCTACTCACAGGCCCCAGAATCACTGCTGTTCTGGGTCCACCACGGTCCTATTTATTGCCGTCTCCCCTATCAGACCAGGGACTCATTAATGACAGGGGCTGTTTGGTCCCCAGGAACTCAGAGGATTTGAATGCTTAAGAATAGCCCTGGGCCTAAATGCACGCTCCATACCACTTCTAACAGACCTACCGTGTGCCTAAAAGCACCCAGGATAGGCCCGGCTCCCATCAGTGCTAGCTCGATAATTAACAGCACAATAATGCATCAATTCCCAACCAGCTCAACATAATACCCCTTTTCCTTCTGCAGTGCCTATCGTCAGCGCCCACCACACCTCTCATTTCCAACACACTTTCTTAAAGCTCAAGTGTTACAATCGCCAATCCTCTCCATGTGACTTTATTCCTTCCCAGGCCCTCTCTAGCACCCTGAATATCCCAGGGGGCTTGCCCACCTTTCTGCCCTCTGCAGACCCCAGCCAAGGTATTCCTGCCACCGCCCGCCAAACCACTCCCCTGAGCCACAGAAACTACCGACTTCTAGCTCCCTCAAGGAACTGAGCCTCTGGATTGATGGTGCTCCCCACTACGGCCGGCTAAGGGCTCCCACATCTCCATGAACATGTCCAGTTTGGCCCTCTTTGGCCTTCAACCTCCCACCAGCCCCAGTCCCACCCCACGGCTGACATCTCCAAGTCGCTACTCTGGTGGAACCCATGTCTGTGGACCCCCATGGATTCTCTCAAATACCCCCACGCACCCACTAGTGTCAGCACTGGAGGGCAGAGGAGGCAGTCAGCAGACCTTCCCTCACAGCCAGGCTGCCACCCACTAACCCAAGGTGAAACCAACCTTTCCCACACAGAGGAGCATTTTTCAAATCCTTCTGTAATCGTTCATCAAGCTGACAGTCTAAATCGACCTAAAGGCTTTGAATACATGTGTGCTCCTAGCCGTGTAGACTCTTGATAAGGACATACCAGAACCTGGTAACAGGTGGCCTCTGGGAAGGGGGTCTGAGGCCCAGCGGTGGAGACAGACTTCCTCATCCCCGAAGATCCTCTTATATTTTTGTTTTTTACTATGTGCACGTATTCCCTCACTCCCCTCAGCTCTTCTCCCCTCTCTATATATAATCCTCCCACTTTATATATATGTATATATATATATGGAGGCTGCCCAGTGTTTTAACTTGCTGGATCCATATGTGAGGGTCATAAATATGAAATGTGAAACACACACACACACACACATATATATATATATAATCCCACACTGGGGAGTGCGCATAAAAAGAGGGACTTACCACTGATTTTTTCTCTTTTTCATTTTCTCTGTCTTTATCTACAAAAGAAATGAAATCAATTTTTAAAGTCAGTTTTAAGAAATTCACTCTTCTTTGTCGTAATTTTGGCAGCCACCACAAAAACAGTAGTGTTTATGCTTACTCCCTGGCCTAAAAATATCTTCCAGGGACATCGGAGTCCCTCCACGGGTGGATGGAGGCAGACCCACCACGGCTGTCTACCTCCATGTGACAGTGCGCAGCTGCTGCCTGGGTCGGGGTGGCACCTCTGGGCCCCAACTGTGCTCAGCTCCCCCCACCCCCTTAGTATATCACACTTTCCATTTTCCACACATTTCATATTTATGACCCTCACGTATGGATCCAGCAAGTTAAAACACTGGGCAGCCTCCACTGGGACCCCATGGCAGAGTGGTAGGCGGGCATGGGTTTCGGCCCAGGGCTGACACCCTCGGCCCACCCACCACAAAGGTGGTTCTGAGGAGCCACCCAACAGCTCGCGGCCAAAGAACGCTGTAACTTAGCTATTACGGCTTCTGACATGGGAAGTCTCCACTCCCAGTGGGAGCAGGAAGGCTCCGAGACTAAAGCACCCACCACCCGTTGGGGACTGGTTAACTGCTGTTCCGGGGCCTCCGTCTCCCCCAAGGCCATGAGAATCGGACTTAGAGCGGGACCCGGACGGGAGCAGCCCCCGCTCGCGGGGGGCGGGAGGGTCTTTCTCTCTCTCGAAGGATCCGCACGGCCCCACCCGCTCGCGGCCCGCCGGCGTCCGGGGCAGCTGACAATGACCGCCCTTGCCCCTCCACGGCCCCGCAGTCGCCGGGACACAATCCCGGCGCCTAGGAGTAGTTTCGGGTTCAGGCCGGAGGGCGGGGAGTGAGACCGGCGGCCGCCGAGCGCCAGGCGCCGGCCGCCAGAGATGCAACAGAAAGACGCGTTACCGCGAGGCCAGGCCGGGCGCTGCACCCCCCGCGTCCCTCGGCCCGGGCCGGGGCTCCCAGGCCCCTCGCGCCGCAGCGCCCGGGCGGCCCAGCTCCGCAGCGGTCGCAGCAGCATAACCCGGCGGGCGGATCCGACGGCCCGGCTTCCTTCCTACGCACGTCGGCGCGAGCTCAGCGCACCGCCTCCAACCCCGCGCCGGCCGCCGGGGCGCCTGCTGGGGCCGCTCTCTTAAAGAGACCCTGTCGCATTTCAGCGTCTCTCCCGAGAGGGTAAGCAATTCAAGGCCCGGGCTGAGCCGGTTGCAGCCAGGCAATCTTCCCGCTAACGGGACGCTGGCGGAATGAACCCCCGACTTGGCAAAGCTTGGGGGATGGATGGCCAACAATACCCGCAACTGGTTGGTTAATTAATTATTGGAGATTACTTAAGTGAGCACGTGTTCTAACCAGGCACCTGGCACACACTTAGGGTGTCATTTATTCTTCCCAACAATGCTGCAAGTAGATATTGTCACTCCCATAATCCTAGCTGATTATGAGCGAATCCTCCGAAATTTAGGTAACTTGTTTAAAATGATCAGAAGCATTCATTAAGAGGTGAAGCTGGAATTCAAGTCATCTATCTTGCCTCACAGCCTGCACTCTTTCCTCTGAACTTTGACATTTCCGGGTCTAGACTGTAAATGTACTAGATGCCTCAAGAAAGTGTTAAAACAACAACAAAAACAAAACAAAACAAAAAACACACAGAAAAAAAACACAGATAAGGGCCCCAAATGGAGTTGCTTATTTGAGCCCCACCCCACCAAACCAAGACTTAATTGTTTTGGCTCTCCCAGAAATGCAAACAGGCCAGTCCATCAGGAATAGCCTGATCAACAATAGTTAAGTAAAATCTGCTTGATAGGCTCCTGCCACCCCCTAAAGCAAAGCAACCTTGCCACAAACACCCAGCTTCTTTGCCAGTGTAATTTCCTTGTTCCTGCTTCCTTTTGCCTATGAAAGTTTTTCATTTTGTACGGCTCCTTGGAGAGCCGTATCTGCTAGATTGGATGCTGCCCAAATCAAATCAATTTTTGCTCAAACTCTTAAAATGTTTAATATACCTCAGTTTATCTTTTAACAAAGGCACAACTAATATTCCAACTGAACAGACAACTGGGGGTGGGAAGGAAGCCTGTAAATCTCATCCATAGTCAGGTAGCAAAAATTCAGCCCAGGTGTGAGGTAGACGGGTATATGTAATTCAGCAGGCCCAGGCCCTGAAACCTAAGCTGCTGCACTTAGAACTGTGTGGGCATGCCCATTCCAGGGCTTGGGTGGAGGGGTTTCCTACCTCTGCCAGGAGTGCAGGATGCTAGCAGTCACCTCTAGGACAGAAAAGAGGAAGTCATTGGCAAGAGGGTTCACTCAGTCTCTAGATTTGCTATCAGAAAGCCACAACCCCATCTGGTGCTTTCTGTATTACCTGCCACAAACACGCCCTCCATAAACTTCAGGATTAAGTTCAACGTTTTTCTGATTTGGGATGAGGCTGTTGGATCAGACTGTGATCCCCTGGGGGCAGGGGCAGGGTATGCGGCCCAGGCCGTTGATTCAGACTGCACATACTATACATCTACTATGTGCCAGACCCTGGGAACCCTGCAGGGAGAGAAGCAGACAAAGGCAGGTCCCTGCTTTTGTGCAATTTATCTTTTTAAGATCTATCAGCTAGTGATACGTGAAGAGAAGGTGATGGTGGCTGCTCTAGAGGGGGTGTCCAAGGGAAATCCTCTCTAAGGAGTTGGTATTTGAGATGCTCATAGTACGGGGTAGCCCTGCAGCCATTCCTGAACACCCCCAACCCCTCCCTGCAACCCCCTCCAGAAGCGCTCCATGACAGGAAAGCCCCTACGGAGAGCTGGAGAGCAGTTGTCTTTGGTGCCTGGAGGGGCGGGGCGGCGTGCCCCCCGCCAGGTCCGCAGAAATAAAGCAGGCGAACCCCAGGAGCCCGGAGAGCGAGAGCGACAAGCGGCCGGCCCCGGCGAAGCGCATGCGCACGAGCGCGGGCCGCAGTGGCCTGCGCATGAGCGCGCGAGGGCGGGAATCCCAGACGGGCGGCGCGCGGCGGTGGCGGTTGCTATCTCCGCACGAGGCCTGGCGGAGCTGTGAGGCGAGGAGAAGGGGTGAGGGAGAGAAGTAGTGCTGCTGCTGCTGAGTCTGCAGGCATGATGTCGACCCTGAAGCCGAAGCATCGCCCCTTCTGCTTCAGCGTAAAAGGCCACGTGAAGATGCTGCGGCTGGTGAGGCCGGGCCACCGGGTGGGGGCGGTATCGGGGCGTGCTCAGGGGCAGCGGGAGATGGCTCTCAAGTATAAAGAGGAATCCCCTACCTTCTCTTTCAGCTTAGGCCTCCCCAGAGGCACGGCGGTTCACTGTGCACCCCGGGGGCAGAAGGAGAGAAAGAAGGCACTGCCCTGCCCTTCAGGGGTTCACAGACACATTCATAAAGCCAAGTAAGCATGTCTGCACGAGTGGCCCCCACTTGGACCTGCACACCAGGTACCCAGGTTAGCAGGCCAGTCAGCTGCGCCTGTACCCCGTACAGGACAGCCGGGCTGCCGGCTTCGGGGCGTCAGGCGTGCCGGGCGCGCTGCAGGTAGTTCGGAACAGAGGTCTGGAGAGAATGAGCCATCATTTGGAGGAAGGTGCCCTGGCTAGTTAGAGAAGTGGGGACTGTCACAGGAGACTATGTTGAAGGAACAAAAAAAAAAGGGGGGGAGGTGGGAGGAGAAGGAAAACATAATTTTTAAATTTTAAGGAGGTGACCTATAGGGGAGGAGATGGAAGTAGTTAAAAGCTACAGGGAAACAATTCCACTTAATATGAGGAAGAACTTTCTATTGGGAAGGTTCCCCAAATTAAGTGGCCACATCACTTGGGAAGGCAGTACATTCCCAAACAGCAGAGGTAACAGGTGTAGATGAGCACCTAGGGAGGATGCTGTAAAAGAGATTCAGACTCAGGTGAGTGCATAGAACAAACTGCATACAAGGTCCCTCTCACACCAAAAGTCTGTGATTCTGAGAAATGACTGTAATGTAATACAAGTCAGAGTGCGTAAGAGAGGTTTAGGAAACTACTCTGGAGTTCAAAGGACAGGAAGATTACTTTGGGTTAGGAGTAAATAATCAGGGAAGAAGTGACCTAAGAGTCTGGAGTTTTATGCCCAGTACTGAAAGCTCTGGAAGAACACTGGAGGAGGAACAAGATCTTGTGAGAAATGTTTAGTTTCAGACATATCAATTCTCTCAACAAACATTTAGAGTATTTAGTTGTATTCTAAGATCTGACTTAGGCCCTGGAACAACAAGAACAAGCAAGACAAAGTCCCTGACTCATGGAGTTCTTCAGTCTAGTCAGAGACAGACCTATGAGCAGATAGCTATAATATGTGGTAAGATGGGGATAGGCCAAAGAGTCTCACATTTAACCAAGGACAAGAGAAAGAGAGGTATCAGGAAACTTCCTAGAGGAACATAGAGTGGGGTCTGAGGGGTAGCCACCTGAGCAAAGACATGGAGGCAAAAAAACAGCATGATTTATGCAGCAAGTTTTAACAAGATGAGCGTTGCCTTATTTTTTTCATGCAACAAATACTTATTGAAAGCCTACCATGTTCCAGGCACTGTTCTAGCCTCTTGGGACATATCAGTGAACAAAGCAAAGATCCTGGCCCTCATGGAGTTTACATATTGGGGTGGGAGGGCAGGGGAGACAGACAGTAAACACAATAAATAAATGATGCAGTATTGTAAAAAGTTGTAAGTGCTATGGAACAAGAGACAAGTAAAGCCAGGGAAAGCAGTGTAAGGGGAGGAAGGTTGCAGATTCCAGTAATAGAGTGGTCAGGTTAGGCCTTGTTGAGATGACAGCTGAGCAAAGAGTTGAGTGAGGCTAGGGAGTTAGCTATGAGAATATCTGGAGGAAAAGTGTTTTAAAAAGGAACATACATTACAATGGCCCTATGACAGGAATGTACCTGAAGGGTTCAAGAAAAAGCAAGGAAACCAGTATGACAGGAGTGGAGTGACTGGGGACACAGTGATAGAT